CAAAGTGTATTTTCCCGGCCCGAAGACGGTTAGGCTCGCGGGCTCAATCATGTTGAAATCACAAACAGTGCAGATTTTTCAGTAGGTGAATTAATGCGTCATAAAAAGAAGTCCGACAATCTTAGCCTGCGAGCAAGCTCTTAATCTCAGCCATCATTTTCTCGCGATTTGCTGATCTAAATCACCAGCCACGTGATATAAAAGTGTCTCCACGATCAACCTGATTTACGTGTTAAGATAAAAAGAGGAACACAATTGACCAGATCGCTAAGAACCGCTCGGTTTTATATTTTTTGGGTGCGAAAACATGACTTTTTGTATTTGTACTTCAATATACGATGATCGACGCCGGACTACTGACCGGCAGTGTGTGCCGGCTAATTGGTATGTTATACAATTTGTTCAGTTTGTTGCAAACAGATAAAACTGCTTGTTCTCTGCTGGAGCCGGATACTTGACTCCGAAAAAAAAAACTTGGCCACATGATTGAATTTTCACTTAACTTCAAATTTGGAAAATCGCTACTGATTGCAAATGAAAAAAAAAAGGCTAGTTTAAGTCCCTATTCGAGCAGAATAAAAGAAAACTAAATGCATTGTTGTGCCAATTCCCTCGGATGCGACCAGCAGGTGATATCCATTTCACTTTCGTTCAAAACCCGCTTATTCATTTATCTGGACAAATACTATATAACCCGTTATTTTAACTAAACGTTGAAGAAGGAATGTAACGCCTGATTTTTTAAAGAATAACCACTGGAGAATTAATAGGACAGATGATTTATCTTATCCTTTAAGATGATATGCAGTAAACAAATATGAATAGCAAGGTGTAAGCCCCCACAATGCGTGTTTCGACTTTCTGTCAGATTTGAAGTTAAATAAATAGCTGAAACGTGCTTTGAATTTCAATTATTCAACTTGGCTTTTCACATTAGAACACTTCCGAATAAAATCAAATTTAATATACAAAGAGATCGTTCGTAAGAAAAAAAAGGCGAAATTTAATTTGCTTTTCTTTTGCCTTAGGCCGATGTTCCTTTGGCACAATGCTTCTGGCCAAGAGTGTTGAAAAATCGTTTCCAAAATACTGGCTGTGTAAATATTTTGAAAGAGGGCGAAAAGCTGATGAAAAAAAATTCTAATAATCTTATCAGAACAGAATACGTTTAAAAGGTTTTTGAAATCTTAAAAATCCCTACTGTTAAAAGCTTATTTAATGACAAAAAGTTTAATTTATGGTGTCTATTGAACTGCTTAAAAGATGACAGAAATTTGGTTTTGCGAAAAGCACGACGGGTTCAGCCGAGCTCCGGCGTTTGATTCAGGAAGAGCTAACTAATTAAATTCTTTCTGTAACGTTAACGAAACGTTTTGTGTTTTTCGGTAAATCAATTGAAGCAGGGTCAGACAAAGCTAATGAAAGATTTAGTGGAGGAATACTAAATGTGGGTTTTGATTTTGAAGCTAGTAAAACAGTGCTCAGTATAGTTCGCCAAGTCAGACCAGAAAGTTCATTTTGGTGTAGTCGTGTAGGACTTTATCCGTTTATAGCCAGATGGATTGAGATGGTTTTATCTATTTTATCTTTTCAGTGTCGCATTTCGAAATTCAAAGAGTGGTGGACTAAAATAAGCGGGCACCAATTTAAGTCCATACTTTAAAGCGCTTGGGCAGCTACGAAAAGCGGGCCAAATCACTACCACTGAAACTATCCCTAACACCACCACCGCCACCACCACCACTACCACTACAGAACCGGTGGGTTGTTATTGGACAGGCTGATATTGGATGAATTTGCTGACTCGTCGTTAGGTTCTCAAACGAATCCATCTTTTGAACAATTAGTACGTTTTGATACGTTGCTTTGCTAATATACATCATTAATTTTCAGTTTTCCAGTCAGAGAGCCCCAATTATCTTCACTTGACTGCTGGGTCTCCGTGCTTGTGTTTCTTTTCAAACTAAGTGTACGGTAAATTGACGTAAACTAAACCTAAGAGTTGCAGTTCAAGGCAACTTTCGTGTGGGTATTAAACTGCACTGAAAAGAAAACATCTCCCCGTTTCTCCGTCAAGAAAGGATTGTACCAGTGTGCGGCATATTGTTATTCTGATCAGCTTGAATGATTACAATGCCGACAACGATGACGATTAAACAAGAAAAAAGAAAATGGTAAAACGAAAGATCAGCCACTGAGGAAGTGACTAACCTCTAGCCCTTCAAAAATCACTGAAATACAATACAAGAGAAGATAATGTCATGATTGGAAATAGTGCCTCATTCAGTAACAGTGAATACTTTAATTTCATTACTACTAATATTCAAGTTCTGTATTATATTGAGTCGAATTATTTCAGTGCAGCCGATCTTATTGCATTTTATATTATATCCTGATTATATTCTGATACTGATTGCATGTGACATGAGATGTATTAGAGACTTATTGGGTTATACCGTCTTGCTACATGGCTTACTTTGTCATTTTGTAGATCATAAAAAAACTACCCAGTTGCTTGCACTCGCGATCAAGTCAAGCCATTGTCAGGCTGTAAAAATTTTTTAGTTCAATTCATGACCAAGAGCGAGTCATGTTAAACCAGAATACACGGACAACAATCTCTCCGACGTCTTTGATTTCGTTAAAGAGACTTAAGTCTTCAGAGTCTACAATCATAACGTCTGTTACATATTGCCCGTTACTGCATTTAACTCTTTCACTGAAGGCTCTCTTAGTATTGAATTTAGATATAACAATATCCCTCGATGAATGTACGTAATAATGCAACTGAATGTTTCTTATTTTCCTACTTACTTATATTCCAAACGCTTTACAATTAGTATTGCGTTTACACAGTGGATAATTCTTGTAATCCAAGTGTCGACGCAAATAAATACTGTTGTCGATTTTGCACAGTGGCGTTGTATATACCGATGTCCAAGTGACTAACTGCACGTCAATCCCATTACTAGTCTATTACTTAAAGCCCTCTATCTAAACTTCTGAGATACAAACAATGCAAAACAGATAAATTGTTATTAAAATAAAAAACTCACCACTAAACTCACCGTAAAACTCGCGTAGACTACGATTTAAGACTCGCTTGGATCATTAATATAAAAGTCGCTAGACTTCCTGTATGGTGAAAGAACGTAGATGAAAAATTCATTAAATTCCGGTTTCTGTTCAAGGACTATAAAGTGTGACTTGCAGCAGTAATTCTACTTCACAGTACTTTCCTTTACTTTAACCGTTTACAGATGTCCTTGCGCCAATTTAGGAACGGAATATAACAGAACTCGAGAAGCCGGAAAGCTGAACTTGGTGAAAACGTCAAGCTTTCATGGTGACGAGATTTAATACCGCCTCAAATATATAAAATTGCATAAAATTACGTGTGAACAGGAGAACAAGTCAAGTAATTTGAAACGCCCACGCAAATCTTTCCCAACACTTTCTAGAATACGCATTGTTTTTTAAACAGTTGTTTTTAACCGACATAGTTTTCTTTTTTCCGTTTTTAAAATTCGATTAAAATCTGTAAAATGTCTGTTATTGATCGGAATACCGGCGCAAGCGTTTTTAGTGTTAATTGGTCTGATAGAATATAATCTTAGAATATTTCTCGTCCAATTAAGCTTTAACAAGTAAAAAGGTAAACGGCCCATTCGCCCACCGAGCCATTACTTGGTCTTCTAAAATAGTGATACATAGTTGCCTAGGAAACTGTGGCTCTGCGTTGAAAATATTAGGTTTTGCCAAAGAATACGAAGCTTAGTTGCAAAAAGATGACGCTACGTCAGAGAAAAGAAATGACGCTCGAAAAGTCAAATTTGAATCTTTTTACAGCGGACAAATCTACTTTGTCAACTCAGTTTATTTACCTGTTATAATTCACAAGGTTTCCCATCGCTGTGAATGTGCAAAAATGAAATAAAATACAATAAATAAATAATGAAATAAAATTATGTATAAAATCAATGATGTATAAAATCAGTGAGGGAGACTAAAGTAATTAGTAAAAGCAGATTTAAATGCGTCCACGGAGGGCTGATCTAATAAAAAGGAAGGTAAACTGTTCCATTCTTTCAAAGTTCTAGTAAAAAAAATTGTACTTATAGGTATTGCTGTTACTACCGCTGTTTATTAACTTGCTGCTATGGTAAGAGCGCGTAACACGGGTGGGGCGTGCAATGTACTCCGGAATATTGGCCCTGATTTTAGTGTTCACTATATATTTTGTATTTGGTTGTAAGTCGTGCAATTTTGCGTCTCAATACTAGTGAATGCCAGTTCAAATCCTTCAGGAAATTGGTGACTGTATCGGGTTCTCGCTCGTAGCAGTTTTTTAGAAATCTGGCGGCTCGCCGCCGTACTCCTTCAAAATCATAGCAATGCTTTTGAGTGTGCTACAGGCGTATTCCAGACAAAGACGAACGAGGGTGAGGTAGGCCTGACCTTGACCATTCTCTGGACATGAATAAAGATTACGTCTGATGAAACCAAGGGACCGGTTAGCCTTCCCTATAATGTTTTCTACATGAAAGGTCCAATTCAAATTGGAGGACAGCACGACACCTAAGTAAGGATGATAAGATACAGAGTCCAAAGGAGTTCCATTCATTGTATACTGATGACTGATTAGGTTTCTCGACCGATAAACCTTCAGGATCTTACATTTGTCTTTAGGATCTTACATTTGTCACAATTGAGGGACGATTAAGGTCCCTAATGTCAGTACCTCATCACTCGTTCCCAGTTCAACCTTCATAAGAGTGTTTATTTCCTTTTTTTAAAACAACTTATGAAAATGTGATTTCTAAATTACCTAGGTAAGACGACGAGTGTTTTTAATTAGTTTGTAAGCTACAATAGATCACATCTTCCTTACTATATTGCTTAATTAATTTGGTTTCGTATAAACGTCTTCAAGATGTCTGTTCAATAGGCAGGAATCTTTTTAAAATTTTCTCATTTAAGACACCTTATTAAAAGTATGAATCCCTAAAAGACCACCTAAAATTTGTTATCCTTTGGTGTTAAAGGTATGTAAAACGTAAATGTAAATATTTGTTAACAGTGAAACTGCGATTAGCTTTCATAACAAGTAATTAGACACAGATAGTCCAAACAGGATAGAAAATGACATCTGGCAGGCGAAAAAAAGCTGGTTAACTAGAAATACTGGCCAAGGAGTTGAATTTTTTTTAAGCAAATCCAGCTGATGGTGCTTAGAGCTGGCCTTGAACCCAGAACCTCCAGACTGTCAGTCTGACATGCTAACTACTTGCCATGCTGCTCACCCAAGTAAATTATAACCATTCAATGTCAAGGCTGACTCCACACCCTCTACACTTCTTCCTCAGATTCTCAACATCTTGCAGAGAAATATTTTGGCAGTGACACAGATTTAAATGTTTAAGGCTCTTAAAATCATCTATTAGCACATAAATTGGCTCCACAGAAACTTCACTGCATCTTGAGAGATTTATTGACCTCAAATCAGAAACGTTTGAGGACTGTATGACCTGAAGGAGAATTGCATCAGTTAGTCCTTCAATACCAGAAAGATCTAGTTTTTGGATCTCCAGGGAGTCACCTAAAATGGCCAGAAGATGTTCAAGCAGGGACTTGTTTTCTGCAAACTTGCAGCTGTGAAGGTTTAGAGTGTTAAGTTTTGAACATGCTTGTGCCAATGACAGCCGTAAGTTGTTTTCTTGTGCAGTTGATTCTTGAACATAGTTACCAACTATATCTTGGCAGTCAGCCATGATAAGACATTTTAGGGACCTGCACCATGCACCAATCACTGCACAATCAATGTTTTCCATACACGAAAGGTCAAGCACTTCCAGTAAGTTTCCAGATTTTTTCAAGAATTGTCTCACATAAGGACTGAATTTGATTTGCATGTTGCCAGCAATGTTTAACACTTTTAGATGCCTCAATGTCGCTATGTACTCCAGAGAGACTTCTGTAATGGATGCACAACAATTTATTGCGACTTCACGCAGTAGAGGACAAGCTTCACAGAGACATTTGACAGATGTGTCAGAGACTGAAGTGTATGACAAATCAATAACGGCAAGTGGTAATCTTCTTCTTGTACCATTGACTAAACTAAAAATACAGGTATCTTTAGATGCTGTCATGGCTAAACCACAACTTTTTAACGCTGGCTGTGTGAGCAGTAATTTTGTTATTCCATAGCTGGTGATGCTGGTAGAAGTGAAGCTGACATCTCGTAAGCTTCGGCACCTTGGGTTGCAATCATCACCACACAAAGCATCTATGCCTTTATCCGTGATCTGAGAGCATGACTTCACTATTAACACTTTTAGCTCTGGGTATGCCAATCCGAATGCATCCAAGACATCATCTGTGCAGGACAGACAGCCACTGAGGTTAATTGATTCAATACAGAGAAGATTTCTGGGAATTTGCTTCAATGCCTTTGTTGAAAGACGTGAACAGTTTTTCAGTGAAAGCTGAACCAGTTTCTGAAATGAGAACAAAAAGGGTTCCTTAGCAACCAGAAAACCTGTAGAATTGCAGAGAATATCAAAAAAGTACAAAAGAAATTAAAGAACTGCATCAATAATAGGTCACTAATTATGTTCAGTTTGACATTTTATGCACCTTGCAACGGTAACCCAAAGTATTGAGGATCTGATCATTAATGACTGAGTTGCACACACTCAGGTCCAGATGTTTGATACTTGAGTGTAGAAGGACATGAAGATGATACACTTTCAACTGCTTTTTCTGACAAATTATATTCAGCAATTCTTGAATAAGGTCAGAGTCTGAAAATCAATTAAAAAAAGCTTATTAAAAGTCACTTGGAAGGCTCCGAGTTTGAGAGATGTAGAGCTTAAAACGGAATCCATCAGGATATTGAGTAATTTCAACTTTCAGTGGACAAAAACCTTGTACAAGAATAATTTAAACAATACCGCATTTTTTTACATTTTTCAAGGGCGATAGGTATAATTTACTATTCTGTAATAACACAAAAGACTATTTCTCATGGGAGCCAGAAAAAAATAAATGTCAAATTTCACAAGAATTGTGAAAACAGGTAAATGTCTGAAAATTTCATGTGTAAGATGCCATTTTGTGAAATTTGACATTCATTTTCTCGAGCTCCCATAAGAAATTTTCTTTGGTGTTATTACAGATAACTAATTACATCTTTAGCCCTTGAAAAGTGTAAATAAGAATGCAATATTGTTTAAATTATTCTGGTACTAGGTTTTTGTCCACTGAAAATTAAAATTACTCAATTTCCTGATGGATTCCGTCTTAAACATTCTCCCCAGCTTTAAGTTAGTGTGATCTGTAGAAGAGTCTACTGAAGACAACCTTACATGTAGGAGAGGAAAACTGCAGCTGAAAAACTAGGAGACTGAATTCTTGAAACCCCAGGAGCCAGCATAACATCTTGTTTTTTCCTCTGTTTATCTTTTGTTGCTATTTCCATTTAAAATTACAGGTCTGAAAGCCAACCATGCAAGCCCATTTATTAGTGCTGGTACTCAGTCTCAGATCCACATTCCACTCCGTGGACCCTTCCTATTGACAGGGAAAGGGGAACACCATATCGCCTCCTCTTCCCTCTATCCCCATTTACAAGGAACTTACAATTTTGCTTGCACATATACCTTAGGACAACTTGAGAGAGTTTTATGACGGAATCCGTCTGGAAATTTGAGTAATTTTATTTTTCAGCAGACAAAAACCTTGTACCAGAATATTTTAAGCTATACAGTGGCATTCTTTGTTACACTTTTCAAGGGCTATAAATGTAATAAGTTACATGAAATAACTCCAAAGAAAAGGTTGTTATGGGAGCCCGAGAAAACAACTTTTGAAATATATTTTCTCGCTCTCCCATAAGAACATTTTCTTTGGAGTTATTTCATCTAACTTATACTTAAGCTAATTACATGTACATTTTATAGCCCTCGAAAAGTGTAAAAAATAATGCAATATGATCGAATTTATTCTGGTACTCAGTTTCCTAACTGAATTTCCTTGGTGCGATGGGCAACCTTTGCCAAGTATGAATATAGAAATAGATTCCGTCTTACGGTAATTATGGTCACTTACTTAAGCCATCAAATGGACCTAGAACATATTTGTATCGGTGAAAATCTTCGACCGAAGAATTGTCAGAGGAGACGACGATGTCTTTAGCGATACTCTGTAGACTGAATCTCTGTAGCGTTTGGACACTCATATCCAGGTAACTTAAAAACCCCCAAACCTTTCGAGTCACATTCTAGTCAATGCTCTATAGATGATGAACTGCTAAATGAACGTCTGATATCGCGATAAGACTGAAAAAGATTGAACTGTTTGTAGCTCTGTTTGCAAATGATGAAGCAATCGAACACTCGTTCCTACTGACCTGCGAACTTACACCCACGCTGAGTACCTCAAATATACTGCATTTTTGCGTATCACATTCAACTATTCAACATGGCGGTTCGTTTGAATGACTGAAACTTTTAAAAGAATATTTCAGTTATATTTTGCCCCAAATACGCGTTTGTTTCGATTAAAATGGAAGAAAATCTGAATGAAGAGGACATATGGGACGAAAAGTCTTTGAAACAGCTTAAACGAAAGTTAAAAACTTCGTCTCAAGAACGCGGGAAATCGTCATCTACCGGATCCAAGAATGCCAAGATGATAAAATCTAAACGTTCAGAAAAGAATGTAAAAGAAGGTCAGTCTACTCAATCGCAAACAGACAAGAGGAAATGTAGCGGAAGTTTGAAGAAAGAAAAGCAGAGGCGTAAGAGATCAGACACTTCCAGTAATCCAAATGAGAAAAGTGTGGTTTCTAAAACCATAAATAATCAATTAAGCGCAGATCAATGTGGCTCAGCTGTCTCGAGTCCTAGCGATAAAATAACGCCTGAGAAAGAGGTCATGGATGGATTTTGCCCCAAATGTCAGATGCCTTTCTGTGCCTTAATTGGGCAGTCTCCTGGATGGCATGTCAGGGAATGTTTGGAGACTAAATATTCATATGTAGGTATGGTATCTTTTTTGTGGTTGTTGAAGGTACAGTATACACAGTAAGTTATGTGCTCAGTTCGAAATAGGCATTGTGCTCCTTTGACAGGCTACCTCTACCAATGTCCGTGTAAAGGCAAAGACAAACATGATATCAACCTATATCCAACACAAATTTTAAATTTTTGAGTGTATACACCCCCCCTCTCCCCGGGCTGTCATTAAGAGCCAGGAGCAAGGGATTTCCCTTGGCTAAATTGTGGCTAAACTACTTTCATGGGGAAAAAATGGAAAATAAGACCAAAAGAACTTCTTGGCTGTAAATTCCCCACCTATTAATTGAAATCTTAGGGACAGCCCGCAGCCCCCCTCTCCCCAACCCTGAGGGTTTAAAGGTGGTAGACCACTTTGACACATAACTTTCAAACCATACCCAAATGAGCATGGTTCAGGGAAACAGAGCAAAATATTATAAAATAGTTTTGCAAGACAATCCCTGGTCTCAGAGGTTTTTCTTAAAAATTTTCGCCATGTGGGAGAGAACAAGCCACAAAGGGGCAAAAATGTGTTGGAAATTGGTGAGGAGTGAGAGAGAAAAACTCCCCTGCCTGCTGTCCTCTCTCTGTCCATGCCAATGTGTGACTCGTTTTTGGTGCTTTGCAGCTCACTCTCTCTCTCACACTAAGAAAAATTTCAAGAGAAACCTCTAGGACCAGGGTATTCAAGACAGATCCGTGTCAGAACTTGGTCTGACTAATGAATTCATGTGTCCATTTATGTCTGTCTATCCTTTAAAGTTTTTATCTAAAGTCTCCCAAGAAGCATTATATTTTTTTCAAAATATTTGATACTCAGTCATCCAAGTATTGTATTAGCCCAACCAAGTGACAGGTGAGCTCATAACTTATATTTTGTTTCAGGTGACTGTGCTGAAGGGATTCACTGTAACTCAGTGTTCTCTCCTCATTATAAGAGATATTCTCACCAGCTTTTAGCTGCTTCTAGAAGTTGTGCCATCTTTGAGAAAAACGTTGAAGAAATAAGCAGTGAAAAAGATGTTTTAGTAAGGATCTGTATTCTCTATAATTATTATCATTCCTTTTGCTTTTTTCTTTTTGTTGCTATCTCTCCTCTTCATCCTTTTCATATTAAGGCTAACCATGATCTGATTTTAAATTTCACAAAATTTATCTTTCTTTTAATTTCAAATAATTATCCTCTGTAAAGCAACTTTCTTTTGTTTTTGATTGAGGATTTGATTGACACTTTTTTAAATCTGACTGTTCTTGCATCAAAAGATGATGAGGATTGTCAAACCAGGCAAAAGATATTTGGTTAAACCTTACCAACAAACCTTATCAAAACTTCAAAAAAATCTGGAACAAGCAAAAACACACATTTGAAAGTTAACTTTTAAGTGTGTTAATGTCATTTCACATCATAAGATACTAAAATTAATTGAACTTATCAGTTAATAATCTGTGTGTTTGTTGATATATTTCTTGCATATGAAGCTGTTATTCCATGTTCATCTTTTTTTTCTGTAATTTGAATTTTCTGTATCATGGGTATTAAATTTCAGGAGGGTTTTTTATTCACAGGTCTTTAATTTCACGATTTTTTTTTCATAACAAAATGTGAAATGAAAGACCTTTGAAAATAAGTACCAATAAGTAATCTCAATTATGGACTTGACAGTTAAAAGAAGTGGGAATATATGATTCTTGTATTGCTGCTAATAAAAATGGGTATACTTTATAACACTTTTTAGCTGGTAAGGAAGTTCTGTCTATAGTGATATCCAATATGTGTTCTTGCACTTGTTTTTAAAAGGTGGAAACAAAGACCCATCCATCTAGACAGCTAGACTTTTCAGGCCAAGAGTTGTCGCAACAAGGGACTAGAATTAAAGATGAAGATTCTGCAGAATTTAGTGCAATAAGGGCTGTAGATGAAGACAAAGAAAGTACACCATTACAAACATATAATAGTAATAATGAATTGAATCTCTCTATTTCTTCCACTGAGAAAAAAGCTCATCATCAAAAAACCAACAATACTTTGCAAGGTGACAATGCCCAGGGGAGTCATAATAGTGGAAAAATGAAGCAGTTTGATGTCAAGAAACCACTGATTACTTCTGAAAGTGTGGAGACTGTAAATTTTAAGAATGGTTTGGAGAATATAGCAAGAGACACTGGTGTGACAGTGTCATCCTTTATCTCAACAGAAGGTTTTGATATGTCATCAGATGATGATCTGTTTGGAGATCCAGAGGTCCTTGAAAGTTTGTGTTCACATACAGAGGAAATGCAGCATACAACAAAAAATCAAGCTGATGGCAATGATTTGGATGAAACACAGTGTGTAAATTCAACACAAATTAATGAAAAGGAGGAGGTTCTTCCTGTAAAATCAAATACCACTCAGAGACAGCAGTCACTGTCATCTTTTGTTAAAAAGCCAAACAAGAAATCAGCATCTTCACTTAAACAAACAGACATTGGAGTGTTCTTTGGCTTGAAACCTGTATCAAAACCTTTTGAGAATAAAATGACAGGTGCCAAGAATGTTATGGATGCTTCAACTTCTTCAGTAACTCACAAACATGGAGGATGGAGAGGAAGAAAACAGAATACTTCACGCGATCCTAAAAATACTGGCTATTCCTCTGAAGGTCAAAGTTCAGGGGCAGGTGAAGATGTTCCTGCTGTAACAGCTAATTCTAAATCACGTCGGAGTTGTCCATTTTACAAGAGGATTCCAGGTAGTGCCATTACCGTAGATGCATTTCGCTATGGTGACATTCCTGGTTGTCGTGCTTATTTCTTGAGCCATTTTCATTATGATCATTATGCTGGTCTGAATGGCAAGTTTACAAACCCTGTTTACTGCAGTAAGGTGAGTGAATCTACTTGTAAATTACTGAAATGATCACAACTAAAAGGACTACAGGACTGGCGACTGGTGAATTTAATATTGATAAAATGACTTACGTTGGAACTTGTAGCTGTCTTTTTAGCTGACTGATTATATCTAGATTAATGGGAGTTTCTTGGTGTTGCAGATGGGTGTGATCACCATATGACTGAATACAAGGATTGAAAAGACACTAAAGAATACCTTAACCACAACACAATGGTTAACCTACAATAGGTTATAGTTTCCACAACACCGTACCAAGAAACACCCAGATTAACTGTCTCTTTGCTGAACAGGCTGTATACTGACCAATCCCTCACAAGATTATAAGAATCTGTATCTTTGGGAGTATCTATTTTAGTTTTCTAAGTTCTAAGAGCTTATTAACTGATAAAATACCTTCTGGTCAAATAGACATTTCTATATTTGATATATTTATTGAGCTGTTTTTAAGGAAAAGGAATTATTGTAAACTGTAAATTATGATCTGCCAGTAGTGAAAGGCTATGCCTTATCCCTACATTATTGATCAGCAAGGAATGTATCAGTGATGATACAGGTCAATTCACTGCAGCCATAAGTTATTCTTTGAAAAGTACAGAATAATTTATTTGTTTTAGGTGTGAATGGGTTAAATATCAGCCTGCTACTCTTCTTATTTTCTAGATCACAGCAAACCTTGTTATAAAAAAGTTGTATGTCAAGAAGCAGTTTGTTTATCCACTTCCTATGAATACTCCAACTGTGATCCAGAATGTTGAAGTGACTCTTCTTGAAGCAAACCAGTAGGTTCCATACTTAACTGTATACTTCTCTTTTGTAACTGTTTTTTTTCTGAACCAGTAACTCATGTTCTTACAACCAGGTGATTGTACCAGGCCCAAACTCCTACATGTGTCATGTAAATCAGATGAAAAATGAACCAGACACAGCTAGGGTGCTTTAATGATTACTGTTATTTGGAATTCCTCTTTTTGAAACTTTACTAAAAAATATCCTGAGGTGGACTTCAACTATAAATGACCTTAGGGTAATAAACGTCCGGGGCATCTTTTTAATTTCAGGGGTCCAAGCAAGGGTGTTTAATACTGCTAGGAGGTGTTTAAAAGAGAGAGGCATTTATTCTGATGACCGTAACAAGCTCAACAAAACTAATATGCTTTTGACAAAAATACCAAGAGAGTTTAAAAATGGTGGAATATCCACTCCAACATTATTGATATGTCTAGGCCATCTAGAAATCCATGTTGCTCTTTCAACTCCCAACAACGATCTCAGAATCCTCGCTCAGTGTTATTGTGTTGCTATCGTTAGTCTATCCTTACTTTGAATGTGACATTGAACAAGATCAGATGAAATACACAAACCCTGGTTAATCAAACAAGAAACTGAATGAATTGTTCCTTTTTGGTAATTCCTAGTATTTTGGAGTAATTCTCATAGGGGGCGTCTATTACACTGGGGGCATTTATTAGAGAGAGGTGTCTAATACTTAACAGCGTAGAGGGGGCATTTATCAGATAAGAGACCCTTTTTTTGGAAGTGGTGTTTATTGGGTCATTTATGATAAACCTAACTTCTGTTTATAGTTTGAGTATAATTTTTATTCATATGATTGTGGATGTTTCCTCTGGTGGAACAATAGATCAGAGCATCCTGTTGTTATATATGCACTACATGTCCAATTTGAAACATTGGAAACATAGGTTTTTTGAGTCAGGTAGCTGTCCTTGCTCCAGTTGGCTGTTTCCTATCCTCATTACAGGTTTGAAAATATTTTAGGTTCCATGAAAGAAGTAATGAGAAAATAGAATATGAATAAAGGCTCTTTCAATTAACAGCTTGTACTGCACAATATCATGTTATAGTTTACAAAATACTTTTTTTCTTCAGTTGTCCAGGAGCTGTTTTGTTTATGTTCAAATTTCCAAATGGACACACAATTCTACATACAGGTGAGATATTCACTGACAGAGCCTTGTTTTACAACTTAACTCTATTGCCATTTTTAATGTTATTTAGCCACTGTCAAGAGATTCAAACGAAACTCTTAACTGCAAATTCTTCATCCTGGCAAATTCACTTCCACAAGAATCATCAGATTTTTGATTTTCTATGTATTATTTTAGTGCAGTGTATGTACATGTTGATGATGAAAATTACATGTAAGGTGAACATGCATCATGTGATGTGCTGTGATGGTAGTCAGGAATTGATGTTTAAAAAAATGCTTAATGATAGTTTAATGATTGCTGAACTTAACGTAAATTAAAGGTGACTTCAGGGCATCAACAGAAATGGAGCACTATCCTTCTCTGCAGCAGTGTAAAATTGATGTTTTGTATCTGGACACTACGTAAGTTATTCTAGTAGAAATACAATAATATGCAGTCACTCATGTAGACTTTCTACTTTTTATCGTGACCTTAAGGCTATCTCTCTCTTTAGTTTGGCACATGACAATACTTAAAGGACTAGCAATTTTATGTGCTCAAGCTCTTGGATCTGCCTACAGCCTCAAGAGTATTATTATAGCAAAAGTTATGTTATGATCTCCCAACACTTCTCTGTCCCTCCTAATGCCGCCATTCTGTACAGTCATCTTAAAGTTCATCCATTGTCAGTAGATCGAGTGCCCAGTTCCATTTCGTTGTTGCATTGTAACTGTCAGTGTCTTTCAGTTTGGTACATTCACAGGTCTTTTTGAATGGTAAAACATTTAAGTGAAGTAGGCTTCCTGAAATAAGATTTATTTATTTATTATTAATGGTCCAACAAATGCTTGTTGGGTAGTAGTTCTGTTGAAAAGCTAATCTGAAATTCCCAGTTTTGGAAAAATTCTAGGAGTCACAGGATTGTAGGTAGACACTTACAAACCTTGAAACCTTTCATAAAACGGTTACAGCTATTTTCCAGAACATTTTAATTTGTGTTTGCTCATGTATAAAATTCTTTAGCATTTTCTCATTTACATGTTACTGTGTTTGTTGATCCAGATACTGCAGTCCTCAATATTCCTTCCCACCCCAGGAGCAAACTGTCAACTTTGCAGTGTCCACAGCTGTTCAAGCGTGTCAACAAAATGCAAAGACTTTGATTGTCTGTGGCTCATACACGATTGGAAAAGAACGAGTTTTCCTTGGTAAGTCTGTTCTAAAAGAGTGGCTTACAAATTACATTGGCCTGTGTTAAGTGTACGTCAGTTTTAGAATTTCAATTTCGCCGAAGTAAAAGTGCTTGCTCTTCATTTGTTCAACTTTTTAAACAGCAAAAGTATAGAACTCCCTTGTGGATAATATAAGTTCTCTAGTATCTCTGAATGCCTTTAAACTCTATTTTATTTATGTAATTTTTTTAATTTCAAGATTCAAATATAAGTAAGGGATATTTTATTTATGCGTGTCTCCATGTTTGTTAATTTTCTAAGTCATTGTTTGGCATTTAAAAATGTTTGTTTTGAAGATATTAGCGAAAAGGTTACCCTGTAAATTTGAGTTAATAACTTTTTATGTTTTCTGTTCTTATATGCCTCACTGCAGCTCGTTTTCTTTACACTTCAGGATAAACTCAATAGGCTTAGTTATAAAGTACAGTAGATAGAGGAAAGTAAACAAAAAAGGATACTGTACTCTGTAGATATGAATGGTTTTAAAAGTGTCGGCTCATCTCTGGTTTAATATAATTTATTACTCACAGGTGACGTAAAGCAAAGAAAACAAAATACAGGGGCACCCAACGACGGTTTCCTCCTAAATACATTGAGAACACTTTTTAAGGCTATATTCCAGAGCACTTTTAGATCTCTAGAAATGCATGCCTTCTGGAACTATAAAATTTGTATCTGTTCGGTCTTCCCAGGGGAACTTTTTGTCTTTTCGAAATTATTAGGGCTCTAGTATTGCTTTCCCGAAAATTTTAGATGCAATTTAACGTTTTACGAAAGTGAGAATTTTTCTAATTCCTCCTTACATCGCGTTTTTGAATCCGAAAATTTTAGGTTTCCTTTTTACTACGAAAAATACCCCAACCTGGGGGTAAAATGTGAAAAATTAGACTTCAGAAAATCGTAGCGGATTTGTTGGAAAAGCTTCGAAAATTGTACATGAATGGAACCGCCATCTAGAAATTTTTAGCCGTGCTCAAGTTACAGAAAATCCTAGGCAATATTTCCTTCTCCGAACAGATATTTTACAGAAAACAGTCGTTGGGTGCCCCTGAAAACATCCTTAACAATGAACCTAACCATGACAATAGCCCATAAAACGAATAAGTTACATTATACCGGGCGGTGGGGATGATTCCCATTCTCTTTCCAGTTTTAACAGATGAATTTCCATTAGAGTCATATCGGATCTGACTATTTTAAGCAGTGCTGGTTGCTGGAATGATTTCATGTTTTCGTTTTTATTTACTAGCCATTGCAGAGGCACTTGGTTGTAAAATCAGTGTAGAAAAACAGAAGAAAAAAGTGCTGGAATGTCTTGAGTCGGAACACATCAACTCACTGATCACTACAGATTGGAGGGAAGGAAGGGTACATGTACTGCCAATGGCTAAACTTACATTGCAGGTAAAATAATGTCTTGTGCATTTAGTAAACCATAAATATTATTATGTCTACAGTTTTCATGTGTATTTCACGCTAGCAAGTGTCTATTGTCACCTTTCGGAAAGATTATTTTAATTATAATGATGGTTTAAAAAACGAGATATATTACACATTAGTACACCTCTAGTTTTGGGCGACATAACTTCGGGAGAGATGACTTTGGGGCGATTTGACCTTTTACCGCCGCAAGGATCAGCCCAGGAGGGTCTACTACAGGCGAATGTGACGAGGATAACGTAGTCAAGATGGTTCTAATTCTTGGTTATGTGTGTTGGAAAATAATAGTGCTTGACACAACAAAAATATGAAATATTTGCCCTTAAAACACTGCAAAACGTTATAAGCAGGTTTCTAGCGATTCCATGGTGTAACATTGGACTAATAAAAGATGCAAATATTAGTAAAATATTAATCCTCTTGTATGGAGAGATTTGGGGGGTTGGTAATAACTAATAATGGTGACATGACTTGATCAATAATAAAAGAGACGAAACAAGTGGGATAAATGTGTAAAATATCTCGTGTTTTAAGCCTTGATGAAATGAAACAAGCGCTCTATAAATGAGACGCTTTTGATGAGACGAAACAAGCGCGATAAAAGAGTACCAGTTCACACTTTTAATATAAGCTTTGATAAGACGAAACACGCGCACCTCAAGAGATAAATGTGTAATAGAGAAGCTTAATGTTGTTGAGCATAATAAAAATTTCAGGCTACTTACTAAAAATTTCGAGTAACATAACTCTGGTTCTTGTTTTGGGCGAGATGACTTTCGGACGACTTGAGCTTAAACCCTTGTGGCACTGCAAAGGGTCTTACATTATCCCTTTTGTAGTTTGTGTTTACACGCGTTCAATGCCTGTCTCTCTGTAGAATCTAGCAGCATATCTGGAGTCACACGGGACGCAATTTACATCTTTGTTAGCATTTAAACCTACTGGATGGGAACACAGTGCAAAAACAGACAACTTGTCCATGATAAAACCCGCAAAGAGAGGAAATGTTACAATTTATGGTATGTACTATGCGTTTTCGTTTTAAAAGAAAACTAATGACAAAACCGTTTCAACTACTTTATGTACATGTAATTGATGTCAAATGTGAAGGAAATTATAGCATCGGTTGTGGATACATACATAGAGAGAAAGAGAAAAAAGTGTGAAAAAGTACATCTATTTTAAGAAAAGCCAAGGGAAGCTTTAATTTTTGAAATGCTAATCATCGGAATCAAGAGACCGAAACACTCAAGCGGATTCTTTCCACGCCAATCTTTTTAATGAATTGTCAATTTCTTTAATTTTCTGGCGTCAATTTTGATTTACATCTACTTTTCCACACTTGCTTCTCTGTATATATCCGCGAACATTGTTAATTTTCTTCACATTTTGACAATAATGACATGAAGTCGTCAAAATGTCATGTTACATTTTTATCTTTTATTTTCTTTTAACATATCTATCGAAATCATTGCAAGAGATTTACTGCTACAAGGCACAAACTTTAAGGGAATAGCGTCCCATTTTAGGGTTAGGGTTGTACTTAACCTCTGAAACAAGAACACTGTTTCCCCAAGTTTTTAATTTTCTGACATGAGGTGGTCAGAGTTTAGGCCTGGACGCCTCCTCTTACATCTAAAATGATGATGTAATGGTTACAAGCAGAAAAGTAAGAATACAATTTGAATGAATCTATTTGGAACCTTGTAGGGGTGAAAATGAACTTAAACCACGCCCATATAACTGGCATCACGTCGCTGGTAGCATGTTTCTAGAGTGGTTCTTTAGTCCCCAATAGGTAGACGAACAAAACGTGGACTCTTTTTCTTGTTCTTTTAGGTGTACCTTACAGTGAGCACAGCAGCTTTACAGAGCTTGAAAGATTTGTCAAGTTTGTTAAACCAAAGAGGATCATTCCAACTGTCAATATTCATTCTGCTGAAAGCAGGACACAAATGCAAACAATCTTTAATAATTGGCTGTCACATACAGTAAATTGATACCTGTAGCCGACTATATAAAAATTATGCTAAGGGCTTCTTGATTTCTTTGCTTAGACCAATGTAAATAGCCGGAATGCGACAGCCTAGAGCTGATTCCTAGCGGACATTTATTACATTTAAAATATTGTAGTCATTGTTTATTTTTTCTAATTTGTTATATATAAAAAACTACATCTAGCTCTCTTAAATTTTTCTGAAACTTGCTTTCTGAAAATATTATACCGGTAACAACCCATAGTGTTTCTGTACTTTGCTGATTATTTATGATTGTGCCAGGGTTTTTCTTGGTGTGGCGGAAAATTTTCTTGGTTAGCCGCCATTGTTTTATGGTGTGGGATTGTTCAGTGTCTCTTTAAATCCTCTCTCAAATTAGCCCCCCTTTTCAGGGAAAGAAAGTTAATAAGCCCCCCACCTCTCACCCTTATTCTTCTTCAATTCACTGTATTAATCACGACTGTAAAACTTCATGTGGACTGATCCTGGATGGTTTATTCACCAGCTGGCAGTTCAGATTTGTTATTGACTTGAGCTTTTCCACTTTGTATTCTCGTTCTTTATGGAGAACCGATACCATCGTCTTTGCTAAATTAAATAACCCCCCCCTCTCAAATAAGCCCCTGTCTCTATTAAGCCCCCACTGAAATGTGGTTGAAATAAATAAGTACCCCATGGGGGCTTAATAGAGGATTTACGGTACGTCATTTGGTGATTGCACCCGTCCAAACCAGATCCAAATATGGAAACCCAAAAAGACTTTTTGTTTTTGATAGAAATAATAGGCCGGGCTGAATCCATATGAGCCGTTGAAATTGGAATCTTTTCTCAAAAACAGTTTAAGATATTTCATAAAAGTTCAAAAGTATACGACGTTTCGACCTTCTCTGACGTCATTATCAAGTAAAAAACCGTAAGAATGTTCTATAAATACAACAACAACTTTATTGACTTTATCTTCGGCATGAAGATTTCAGTACCAAAACAATAACAAATGAAAAAAGTAAAATAAAAGTTAAGTAAGAAAGAAAGGAACAATGGAATATTATTATAAAAGAAAAATTACTTGGCTCTGTACGGCTTCTACGCTACTCGTATGGTAAGAAAGTTTACAGTCAAACCAGGTCAAGCGTTCCCGTCGCTAACGAACTAATGAATTCATTCACGGAAAAATGATTTCGTTTGTTGATTTAATAATCCATTCATAAAATGAACAATCCAATAGTCATATTTAGCCTCGATTCCATAATCGAATGTTGATTCGATTACTGTTTTTTGAAAAATTACACTTTCCACAAGTTGACCTCAGAATTTTGTTTTTTCCTCTTTTTTTTTCTGAGAGTCGAGTGCTGGCGAGTTCTGAAGTTCAAACCCAAACAAACTGTTACATGTACGCCAGTTTGCTGCCAATAATCAGTGCAACAGACCTAGGCCTGACCTCTTAGAAAACACGACGGTCAAACTGAGGTCAGTGTATGTGCGGTGATTGGTGGATTTCGATCCTCGGCCTTTGTCAGTTTCTTTGCGTTTGCGGTCTGTCTATTCTAGCTGTTATTTTGATTAAAGGCGATGAAAAACGCAATCGTAAACGGCAGGAAAAGGGAAGCAAATACGATTGAACACAACGGACAAGAATAAAGAACAGTTAGATTTTGTTCATAAACCAAATCAACATTTGATTATTGAATCGAGGTACAATTTGACCGTTGGATTATTCATTTTATGAATGGATTATTGAATGAACAAACGAAATCATTTTTTCATTAATGAATTCATTAGTTTGTTAGCGACGGGAACGCTTGACCTGGTTTGACTGTAATTAGAGTTCGGATGCATAACAATTTAGAATATCTTCAATATAAGAGGCACTGAGATTTATGATGTTTTCATCGCACATAGACATGATATATAAAAATAGTGCCTTGCAAGACATATTCGTAAAATTACTGTTTATCGAGTATAGGCTCTCTAAGAAATACAAGAAAAAACAATAGGTCATTAAAGTAACATAAAAATGGAGTTACTCTGGGTGTTAAGGCTAGGCCTAAGTTCTTTGATAAATAACATTTCGTAAAACATGGCAGTCAAATTATCCGTGGCACTTCTTAAAAACGCAAAAATGACCCTCATTAAGTAGATTTTTGTCACCATGGGCTTCTAGGAAATGTTTACCGATAAGCGCTATCTACCTTTTGAACAACCAGGGCCTGCTTTATACCGATAACATGGCTTCATATTTCGACTGACTTTATAACGAAGTGAAGATTTGGACGGAGTGGGCGAGACTTTAGAATGGTGACGAGAATGGATAGCTGGCTGTAAGAGGCAGAGAAGAAATTTTAAAACTGCTGGCCTAAAACATGCAGTCTCGCCAGAGAACCAACCCATGCAGAAGTGCTTTTGACGGGTGATCAATCTCGTCCCCGATGAACCGCAAGGGACCATGGGACGGGAACGCCCGTTATCTCCTTCTTGTCTTCCTTTGCGAGCACATTTTCATCGAGAGAGAGACATCTGGGTACGAGGCAGTTCCTCGGGCTTCTCTCTTGGCGTCAGGGAGAAGTCTTAGAGAACGAGTTGAGGAACGTTGAGGCAACATTAGTTGGCCTAGAAGTGAAGGCATAATAGAATTTTACAATATCTCGAACCTTGCGATTATTTGAACCAAAGCCGACTCTCCTTCCCCAGTCAAACTGGAATCCTAGAAGCACTGAATCCTTTTCCGCTTCAAAGGGCTGCGGTCAAGTATTAACGACACGTGAAAACGTCCACGAAATAATGTTCCAGTGTGCATGTTGCAAGTTTTTTTTTACGTTTTGTGAAAGAAAACTACGTACTTTTTTGCTTGCATTGCGCAATTATAGGGGAAAAAAAACGTATTCGCGACGTTTGGTCTTGATTGTAGAGCGGAGAAAAAATAGTTCGCGGATATTAGGTGAATCATATGCACAATAACGTACCAAAATCTCCGCTTGGTCGAAGAGGAGATCTTGGTAGGAGAATTACAATAGCGTTCGTTTCGTTGTGACTATTCTTTTTTATTGCTGGGTTCATTATGTCTAACTGGTCTGGAATCATAACGTCTTTCGGTAACGACTGAGCTAAGGAGGACTTTTCCTAGCCGAATAATATTTGTTATAATCACTTATGTCATTTGTTTTTAGTAACATTAACTTGTACGGTTACCAGAGGTAAGCCGGACATGCCAACATTAAACCCAACCTCGTCCCCAGGGCTTTTCGCCCCACCCATTTTTTGAGGGAAAAGCCCCGGGGACGAGGTTGCATTAAACCCTACACTCATGGCACTCAGGCTAATGGATGGTACCCGACCGAATTTTAGCTATCCAAATTCATGCTACATGTATGTTACAAGCAAGTATGCGGAGGACTCAAAGCATGATCCTCACAAGGCACTGGTTCCAGGTGTATCCCTACTGACACTGGGTCAGTCACTCCCAGCAGTATAGTCGCCCACTGTGGAGCAGTTTCTTGTCTAAGGAAACAATATGATGACGCGGCCAATGTGCAACCCAAACCTCTCAACTAACTCTGGCAGTTTTCGTTCGCACTTTCGTTGTATACACCATGAGATAATGATTATTTACACACAATGTAGTGATAGCATTGATGCAAAATTAAGGTAGTATTAAAAGAGTATTACAACTTTACATTTTAATTACCGGTACTGGTTGATAAACTAATAAACTTATATTATGTTTCATCATGAATGGAGAATTTTAAGTATCAGGACAATAATTTTTTATAGAGAAAAAGATGCACCATGAATAATTGAGCATCATACAATAGAAGTTTTGGGCTCTTTGGGAAGATCTCCTCCTGAGCTGTCTGCTCATTCCATTGTCTGAATAATGAGGTAAAATGTTTAGAGTTTTTAATTTTTATCAATGTTTTATTTTTATCTATCCTTTGGGATTTGCTGCCTTCTGCTCTGACATGGCTTTTTCATCTGCATCATGTGCCCTTAGGGAAATAAAATAAAGCAATAAGGTGATCCATAATGTTCTGATTAACCATCATTTTGCAAATCTTCATGAAATATTATCATCTTCTTTCTATATAATGAGGTAGAGGAAGAGGACCACTTCAGTTGATGAAAAAATGACTATGGAAAACCAATTACCTATAGCATGTACTAGGAGATTTAATACAACCTATATATTACAAAATTTGTGTGCTTTTTTGTGTTCCTTGAGTGCATCAATTATGAGTGAGCAATGATTAGCACATCCAAGGGAATTTTTTTAAGCTTCTCAGCTTACTATTTCTTCAGGTATTGGTGAGTTAGTCTTTGATTGACCGCTTTTATGCTACAGATGTTCAAGTCATCTAGACGCATTTAACATCTGAGACCGGCAACAAATTCAGCTTCTCATACCTCAACATGATGTTCACACAAGGTGCAATTTGTTCCCACGTATAAGATGTAACCTTGATTAATAGTGGTGTCCAGGAAGGACAGAGGTGAAGACGCAGACGTGAGGCAGCCACTGCTGCAGATGTTATTATGGATGGAGGAAAAGTCAAGAATGAATGATCTGTCAGGGGAAAAAATCAGTAAAAGAAATAAAATTTGGATAATTTATTAGAATTAGATAAATGCAAAGACAAGTAGAAATCTCTACCAATATATTGTCTTTTTCCTGTGAAAATAATTAGCCTAGAAAAATCTCTTGAGATAACAACCTAGAGTACTTGCTGTTTATGTAAGTGTGAGTATAGTTCTGCAAGGTGAAATCTTTTTTAATTATCATTACTCTTTCCTTGGTAAACATTTATTGATATTATTTGATTCAAAAAAAAGATTTTCAGAAAATATAACTATATTTTTTAGCATACCTTGTAGAGCAATCTCTAGAAAATAATGCACATATTTTCTTGTGTAGGCCATTGGCTTAGAACAGTCTTCAATACTCCTTCCTGATTGACAGTCCTGTGCTGAAATTGCATGAATCAAATAGAACTCCATAAAATTCACGGGTGTTGGCAAGTCTAAATTCCAGCAGAAAAAGTTCAGTAGAAGCAGTTCCATTTGATTAAATTCTGCCACACTAAATACATTATGAACAAAGCCATTCAAAGTTGATATGGTGGGAATCTTCTCTTCATTCTCTTCAAACTTTGCTGAAACAAAAGGAATAAATGCAATTAGGTTTTTGTTCATTTATTTTGCAGCATTTCAACAAAAACTGGCACCTTAAATGTTCAATGTTTAACAATTATTTTGTAAAGAATTGTGAATTGTTCTTAAACTTCTTGAATATTTTCCTGTAGGAAAAAATAGCTCGGAGAATAAACGATACAGTACTTTGCAATAGTTTAAAATATTTGTGTGGTGCATCCTCGAAAAAAAAGAACTGTTTTAGATCATTTGGGGATTATATTTCATCCCTTGGGACTTAAGGTCGTTTCGGTAGAGGTACCACTGGCTAAGTTTAGAAAATTCTGGCCTTCGCAGGCCCACAAGGAATAAAAATATTGACAACAATATTATAGTGGTTTTAATTTCTGATGAATTATTCGTTCTCGTATTTGATATCATCCGGGAGGTGATAGGCTCCTGATATTATATATTTTTGTTTCTTGATAATCGTGTAATGATTAAAAATAATAATACTGTGGTTATTCAAATTTGATATTGAGCCTGGAAAAGCACGCCCTGATTTAAGGTTTTGTTACCTAGCGTACAAGCATGAAAAAGGTAAAACTTATAACAAAATTGTAAGATAATACAACTACATATATTTTTGTGTTGTAAGCTGTACATGAAAACTAACCTGACACAAAACAAGTTCATTCCGATGGAGGAAACAAGAGTAATAATAAGGGGAGTTCGAATGTTGTGACTTCAAATAGCCTTGCTTATGAGAAAAGAAATGCGCTAATGTGGTCTTTTAAAAACTTAAGCTTACCTGCCAGCAGCAAACAGGACAATGCAACTAGATGAAGTTGTGGTTCCTGGATATCAAATTTGTCCATAAAGTAGTCCATATAATAAACCGCTAAGTGAAGCACTCCATGCGAACATTTAATTTTTTCAGAAATAACAGCAAGCCAGTCCACTAGAAAACGCCTGAGTTTTATTTGAGGAGATGACGAAGTGAAAGGTGGAAGTCTGGCCTCCTTTTCCCGGAGAACGTCGTGGATTTCCTGTGCAAGCTGCGATTTCCACCACTCATTTTCCACCATCATTTTGTCGAGAAGTGCTTCAGGAAAGGTCTTACTTTGGGTTTGATCGCTAAATTTAAGTAAAAGGTTCTAAAGTTATTAACATTTCACTCTATGGCGAAACCACAAAGTTTACCTTCGATCGAGCTGTTTTGCGAAGAACAGTAATGCAACGCGCGGTATTTAGACTTTCGCGGTAAATTCTGTATGCACCAATAAAATAGCTTCATCGAGAGGCACTGGTAAATAATTTTCCTTATAAGGAACGTTCTAGTTATCAGTCCTTCATCGACTGAGAATTTCCAAAGTACGAAGGAGGGACTGTCCGAGGGAGGTATTCGTCGTTCCGTAAAGTAGTTTGAAAGTTTTCGTGCAAAACTTTTGAGGAAAAGGATGAATAATATTGTCCGCATCCAGCCAATGCAGTATGTTCACCTCCTAGATCTGGTAGGTACATAACGTGGTACGATCCTTTATTTCGAGTGCATTTAATTCAGGCGATCACTTGTTTGTTTGCAGGTTAGCTAGCTCACGATCTTAAAGTTTCGCAGTTATTTTGAAATCTGGATGACGAAATTATCCATAATCTGTAGAGCAATAAAAATGATCACGTCCGAAGGATATTTTCCGTTTTTGCGCACCTGTTCATTGCAGTGCTTGTTTTGCAGCCCTATATGAGTACTAGAAATATTTCAATTTCACAATGCAATGTTTCGTCTGTTAGTAAGGAATTTACTTTAAAAAGTTATAAATCGAAATATTGTATACAATCAACAGGAACTCTGCCACGATCAAAGTTATTGAGATTTTGATAAATTTTTGGTGGAGGTCGAAAATGAAATAGGGATTCTGACGTCAATTGATTGACGTCACTATCGCTAGATTTTTTTTCGAAGTAAAGAAAACATATCAGTCCTGTAGAATGACCAAGCATGGAGAGAATGTTTATGGGAGGCTGTTGCATAAATGAAAAGTGGAAATTCATACGGGAGTTGATAGTTGATTCCACTCACTAATGCTTCCCTGCTCTCTCTCCCCTCCACCCCCCCTGCCACTCACACCCACACATCATCCAAGAAGTCAAGTCAAGTCAATTTTTATTTAAACTCACCCAGAATAACTGTAATTAATACAAATTAGTGCTTTAAATATAATATAAATATAAATTTAGATAAAAAGTATTACTTCATTAATTAAATAGTAGTTAAGATAATATAATCGTAAAACATTAGGAATCAATAATAGTATTTTAACCATCAATCACAGAATTCTTGATATATTGACGAAAACTGGAAAATGGCTTGATTTTCTTAACAGCAATAGATAAAGAATTCCAAAGTTTTGGACCAGTGTAACTGAGAGAACGAATGCCATATTGAGTGGTATGAACAGATTTAATAGATTATCAATCTGTGATTGACGTGTATTATATGAATGAATTGAAGATACTGGGTTAAAATAATTAAGAAAACAAGAAGGGCTTAGTTTATGGTACCACTGATAAACAAAAGAGAGAGTTTCAAGATGAATTATATCAGAGAATTTTAGGAGTCTGAGAGACTTCAGCAATGGCTCAGAATGAGATCTAGGGTCGGAAAAAGTCATTATTCTGACGACTCGTTTTTGCAAAGTAGTTACTGGTTTTAGGTAGGTTGGGTATGTGAGACCCCAAACAGTTTTAACATTTATTTTTCCTTATTATTAATGAGGGAAATTTTTTAAAAAAGCTTCACTTTCTATCTCGCCTCAGCCTGTGGTTCAAAGGGATAATGTGTTACAGGTCAAAATTGAATTTAGGGCTAAAATTATTTTAAAAAGATGCCCATAACAGGAGTTCATTGGACTGCCAACCTGAAATTTTGTTTACCTGGGGCAGTTACTATTTCATTACAATACAAGGATATGTGTATAGACCCTAATTAATGCCCGTCAGGAAAGTGAGCATGAAAAGTTATTTTGCCCTGAGAAGGTTAGATATGACATGTCCTGGCTCAGACTCTGGAAAGCCATTTTTTAAAATCCCTGATAAAACCACTTTTTGTATCAATGATCACATAAAATTAGTTTTAAGATGAAATTCTACTTGTGGGACTGATAATTAACGGGTAATTTTATTTATTCATTTTTCTGTATTTAGAACACCAATGTGACAGTCCTGGAAGTTGGACCCAAAAGTTTAATTCTTCAAGACAATCATAAGTTAGTGGAGGGTCCTTTGCCCTTTGTCGTCATTCCACCTGGTCATTACTGTGTCATTGAAAACCCTGTCAAGTAAGAAAATCACAAATTCTGTTTGTATATTTTTGTAGAGGAGTATAGTTAGACATTAGTATTTTTATTTATAGTGATCGCTTTCATCATCCAGAAAATTATCTTAAATAATTTATGGAAATGGATTCCAAATTAACCTTTTCCAGATTTTCATTTGAAAATGATCCATTTATGGTTTTAGTGTAAGGTCATTTTCTAATGAGAACTTTTGGTCTCCATTCAAGAAAATGAAATGAAATGTCCTGTTATGGATGGTTGTTCTTGATCTGGAAACTGAATTCATGATAAGCATGTCAATCATAATTACCAAGGAACTAAATGGATAACAATTTTAAATTGACAACTAATTCCTCACCTATAATACAGTGCATTTGAAAGGAAAGAAAGTGAAAACCCAGTAAAACTATGAACTATAGTTTGTTTGTTGATATTTTACATTTGAGACAACCATGTGAACCTGGAAAGCAGTGTGATTTGAAACATGGCTACAGAGAAGTAAGATTTTTTGAGGTAAGTAAAAATTAAGTGACTTTAAGGCAAATTCTAAAGTTATTTCATTGACCAGTCGAACAATTTTAACATGTGCAATAGTGGGCCAGCCAGTTAAAGCGATGGTCCAGAGGAAACTCGATCTCCAGCAGGCTATACTGGCTATTCAGTGGATCACTGCAGCAGTTTTTTGATATTTGACGAATACAATGGCAACAGTAGTGAACAACAATAATTATCATTGCATTCATTTAGCCGCTAAACACATCTTGGAGAAAGTGTTGTAAGTTGCAGATCTGTAGGTGTTGGTTCATGTTCTGCTTTGTCTTTTTTTTCTCAGTAGTTTAGTGAATAGACTACAAGCTACTTTGTCATTGTTCTTTTTGTCATATGGTACAGCTTACTGATTTGTATTAATTTTAGAGTTTTTCTTTCATTTTGATTTTGGTCTTGTTTCCTTATTTGTTAGGAGCCTTTTCCTCTGTACCCTGGTGAAACCATTGAAGGAGCACAGCAATTAGCAGGTTCAGCTTTTGCAGTTAAATCTCTGCTAAGTGACACCTCCCGTAATAAAGTAGACACACCTTATCAACAAACACCAAGCCTTGCTCAGCGTTTAATTTGTTTCTTTCAAACTTTCCAGTTTGAGTTTGATTATGCTAGGAGGCAGAATAGAATGGCAATGCATTATGTAGAAATTCAAATTTCTTTTAAATGTTCTGAATGGTTTTTCTAATGACTTGAATTTCCCTTCCTCTCCATAGGTGTCCATTTCCCATAAAAACACATTAACTCTTGGCTTTGGGATTTTCAGTTAGGGAAACTTCTACCTTGTGAATGATCAATGTACATGGTTTTTTAATCTTCTAATAACACAATTTGTTCATGTTGATTGAAGTAAAATTACTCTTTTTCCATCGCCCAACAAATATTTGACCCACAAAAGATATTATTGGAGCAATTACATTGTATTGCATTTAATTTTGAAATATTAAACATAGGATACAAATCTGGAATCAAGGCTCTTCCTGTCATCGGACCAAATGAAGGCCTTCAACTATTAGCAATTGTCGATCATGTGGATGGTGATGAAGAACGTAAAACTGGAGACTTTTGGCAGCTGGAGGGTCCCCTTACCTACAAGCCAACTCCTTATGCTGTATGTTAATGTGAAAAATATTATCATTTGATTAGGCCATTTAACAAGAGTGTGCTCAGTGTCCTGGCCTTTGAATAGAATCAAGGATGGAGGTTACCTTGTTTTGTTACCGACCTTCCATTTTTCACTTGTAAATAGTCATGTTCATGGGCTCGTTAGCATGAGAATATAATGATTTGCACATGAAAACCAGGAAGGTTTCAAAGGCCAGGGAACTGAGCACACAACTTTTAAAATAGCCTTTTAATCTTACAGACAGGTAGTTTTAGTTAATTTTTTAACGTAAACATAATATTTGTTGGTTTCAAGAACATAGTACTAAGGTAAGTTTGCAACCTTCTTTCAAAGATTTGAAAAGAGACTGTCACATGAATTTTGTATGAAACCCTTTGATTTCCCCCATATGCGACCACCTGTTGTAAGTGACTGCAACTTTAATTTCTTTTAACTTATCATATGACACATACTCTGGTCTCTATAATACATGTTTGTATAACTTAGAAGAAAAACTACAAGGTTTTTGTCCTTGTTGAGAAAAGAACTCCTAGTTTGTAATTTGCTAATTTGTTTTCTTGTTTCTTTTGCAGGAAATAGTGAAGAGAGTCAAACCTCGCGTGATTAGACATGGCCAAGCTTTACGGCTGAAGGCAAAGCAGGCTTTTGTTGACAACAAGGGGCAGTATGTAGTACATTGTTATACCTTAGTTGAGTTAAACTCAGATTTTTAGACTAAGATTGCTAGCACAGAGTAGAATTCCGTTCACTCAAATCTGAACTCCCCTGGCCTGCTGTAATTAAACAACTTTTAGCTTGAAAAAAGATCTGTCTAGTCATCCAGGACAAGTAGATTTTCTTACTGAGCAAGTAACTTTTCAAGCCCAATGGCCAAGGGTCCAAGCACGACATCCTCCAACTATCATTAACTAAAACAAGCAAGTAGTTGGCGTGGGCAAGTGAAATGTGAGAGCTGCTCATCCAAAGAACCTGCTTGAATTTAATTTTTTTTTAACATTTCATTAACATTTTCGGAATTGAATCAAGCAGTTTTACGTTTTATTATTTATCACTAATTTCTCAGGAAGCGGGTAACTTCAGAAGAATGGTTGATCAGAGATCTTGGTGCATATCTGCCAGGAGTTTTTGAAGAGGTTTGATAGAGTAATTTTAGGAAATAAACCCCCTGCTTACGTGAATTCTTGTTTACCCCTTAACAAACAATTATAAATCCCAAGTTGATGTGCTTTCCTTCGAAAAGAGACTCTAATGCCGGGTTTCAACAATGCCACGATTTCTTGAGCCAGTAAATTTTAGCACAGGAACCCATATTTTACTTTTGTTGTAGACAGTAGACAGACATGATTGCATATTGTTTGATCAGTTTATTGTTATTTGTTAGGTTGTTGGTGTTGAACGTGCCCACACAATGACTGAAGATAAAGCCCTTCACATGAGAGCAAAGCAAACTTGTATAGATGCACTTGGAAGAAAGAGGTGAAGTCATTGTTAACAAGTCAATCTGAAGACTAATTTGTTGGTGTTTCACTATAACAGTAGTTTTGACTGAAGAACTGCTGTGTAGTTTTTCTTTTTTATTCTCAAAAAAATAGAAGTACCTTTAATGGGGATTTTCTTGATCAAATTAAAAGTCTAATTTGTTTGTTATTGTGTTGTAATATGAGTAGCGTTTAGTGCGTCTTCTTCTTGCTGATACGATAAAGGCATTGTTACTTAAGAGTATCTGCAATGCAGCGTAGCAAATTTGTTGCAACATTGTTTCGAATCGTTACAACATTGTTCCAACATTTAAATGAAGATATGATCATCGCAGTGGTAATTGCAATTTAAGCAATGGACTGCAAATAAACCGGAAACAAATTTCGGGATTTCAACGGGAATCAAACCATGGCCTTTGCGTTAGCGCTGCAGTGCTCTACCAACTAAGCTATGAAAACGCATACATTGGGAGCAGGCCAGGTCTTAACCTGTGACAAAATATAGAAACATCTTCATTATTTTCCAGAACAAAGAGCTCTTAGTACATATAAGCAGCTGTTCTATGAGGCTCATCTATGTATTCTAACTGAAGGGCCCTTCAGTAATGAGAATTTACAAATTGCTTATCGTTTTGTTCAGAAATGCAGGAGATGAGTGGCTTGTCACATCAGACGATTCCGAGATGTACATACCTGAAGTATCTGAGGCAGTTGTTGCTGAAGTATTTAAAACTGTACTGTCCCGTAAGGAGTACTGTATAGTTACTGATCCTATTGACAGCAAGGGCCGTAACCAGCTTGGGAAAAGGGAGCTTCGGAAAGGAATCACAAGTTTCTTTTTACATCCAGGTAACGATAGGGAAGTAATGGGGAAGAAGAAGACAAAATAGGAGCGAGAAGTTATAGACTTGTTTTTTCATTAAAATTGTAATTGGTTTGGATTTTAATTTATTCATAACAGGAGAAGATCTGGATGGTGGAATACTAAATTCTTACATTCTAGAAACAGATGAAGCTCTGGTACTGTCAGCTATCGATCATTTTGATGATGATTCTGCTAAAAGTGAGTTCTTTCAACAATCATTCTTCCACATGCAATATTGCATCAAAGAAAAATGAAATTTCCCAAATAACAATTTCAGGATAATGTCGTAGGCGAATTTCTTGGCGTCGAACTTCCGCGGCTATTCCGCACATTATTACAGTCGAGCTCTATTCAGTTCAAAGATGGTGGCACACACAATTTCCTTTTTCGTGTCCCTTTCTATTGATCTGCAGACATGAATCTTCCTCGTGATTAGTTTCCCAATTGGTCGGTTCTTTGATTTATATTTGCTAGAGTGCTCAACCGCCTCCCACCCGGGAGGTTTTGCCTTGGAATCCCTTCGCGGAAAACTTTTCTCTTGAGAATTTTGTCGATATTAATTAGCCTGCGTGGCAGGCGCAAAAAGGGGAGGGGGATGGGGTTGGGGGGAAGGAGAAAAGCGCGAAAGAGGGGAAGAGAGAAGGGAGCGTCTGCAATAAGAGCCGGTGTTTTTGTATTCCACCCACCATTTTCTGAACTAATCCGATAGCGTCAACTGTCAATACGTGACCAATCACAAGTAGGGCGCTTCTCAGCATGGACCGAACTCAGTTACTTTGTTTACTAGAAATTGTCAAGTCGAGATGCTTTTTTCAAGTGATATAATAATCGAGCGAAATAAAAACAACTTTACTGTTCTTGACCCCGAAGCAAACACCGCAAACGTAGAGACTACCCTCTCTCCCCAATCCCCCTTCCATTTTTCCCTTCCTCCTTATCCCCTACGCAGGCTAATATTAATTAAAGTTTGTACCGTTATCTTGTTCAGAGAAGTGTCATCGATATCCTGGTGATCGATGGATGATCTTTGGTCCAACTGAGTACATTCCTCCAATAGAGGTCACTGTTAAATCAAGAAGGTTTGCAAACTCATGCGTTTTATGACCTTAAAAGAACCTCAAGCAACTACAACAGCAGCACCTTAAAAACGTCACTTCAAGCTTTGCATAGCGTCCTGGCTGTAACCTGTCAGTTACTAAGGACATTGAAACAACTTGAACCTCGACAGAAGATTAATTTGATCAACCGACGAGTAAAGTATCTTGTACTTGATATAAGATCGGTTTTATACGGAGATCACAAAATGGTTAAGATCCTGATCACCAGTAAAGTAAACAATGAAAGGGTTTTAAATATTACTGCCTTGTCGAATGTTTCACTGTAGTAAACCAGTGAACGTTGACGCGTGCTAGTAGTATAGGTTTCACCGAATTAACCCCTTTTTGCCCTTAAATTTCATGAACATGCGTAGGAAGACATACACCTTGTTTGTTCTGTAATAGCGTTCTGTCTTTTGCTCATGAATCTTTTCTAGCCGGGAATCCTGCTAACGGGTCATGAACGCGGGTGGATAACACACTGTAATATCAGTACAATGCGGACAAATTCTGTTTGTAAAAAAAGGCGGTCTCCTATATTCTTTTGTCCACTGTGGCCAGCTCCAGTCAGGTGGTTTCGCTGCTTCATGAAGCCGATTCGCTTAAAGCAGTTTTTGTATTGACGTAGATTTCGACATGCGGGAAGGGTGTAGAAATGTGAAATGCAGCACAAGTAGATGGGTTGCATACTCCATTGCACCCCTGAGAAAACCTATAGTCCCGGACCTGAGAAGTTCGATGTTGCGTACACAACGTAGAAAACAATAACAGCCACCAAATGTGTGTTTGTTTGCTTTTTTTGTGTTAGTGAAATATTCCTCGCAAGGAAGATTCCTGTGCAAAAGTAATTCGGTGCACCCCTTACTACTCTCTCTTCAAAGATTTGTCTTGTAAGGATTTCGCCAAACACCACAGTGATCGTCAACTATTACACACTACTTAAACTCATATTTGTTTGTGAGCCGTTTTATGGATTATCTAAATTATTTTACAGGAAAGCGATGCCTCTTTGTGAAAACGAAGGAATTTATGTCAGGGATACACAAAGTGGAGCTGTACGTACTTGGCTACTTTGTCTGTAAAGAACATTATAGAAGATTGTTTGCAGTGGTTCCCTTTAAAAACGTCTTTTAAATCAATTGTACTCGTCAATTCACGATATTTGCTTTGTCGCTATTCATTATTTTCAAGGTGCGGGCCGTGATGGGACCTCAGTCTTATCTGCTAAAGGCATATGAAGAACTTTGGGTGAAAGAACTCAGTGAAGATGTGGAAAATATTCTCAAGTGAGCATTGGGTATTTATTCATTGACGCTCCGCTTATATCAAGTAATAAACAAGTTTCAAATGCGCATTACAAGGACTAAAAGAAAAAAATAAATATTTGTACAGTTCTTGATATAAGTTGGCCGAAAAGCAAAGTTTGCAAACGTACATGTATATCTATGGATTACTCAACATGTTACAAGCTTGTTTTAAAATGTAGTGATTTATATATAAAATATCTAATAATTAATACAGATATTTGGTCTCAAAAATATTTGCTTTTATAAAAAATTCAAAGATACTAAGCAAGTACAGCCCCTAATGGATTTGGGAAGCTCGTTCCAAAGTTTCGGAGCCGTAACGCTAAAGACCCGGCGCCTAATGTTAATAGCGATTTTTTCCTTTGAGAGATATTAACATAAACTGTGGTTTGAACGTAAACTATGGATATCTTATGGCTTTCTGTATCCGAAATTATCAGATCACTATTGTGTTACGGCCCATGGATAGCTTTAAAACTAGTTAATAATATCTTAAAATAAGCACGTTGTGTAACTAGCAGCCATTGTAGAAAATGTAATGATGGAGTTATGTGGGAGCATTTACTCTCTTGAAATTTTAGGCGTGCGACATTAAAAGTGCTGATTCTGATGAACAAGCAAGTGCGCCCATTGCATCTTCTTGCGTGAGAAGATTAACCCAGTTTTTCCTTTATGCCATTTTACCACGTAGACTAAAGAAAATGGAAGAAAGACCACGGTCACTGTTTTCGTCCTATTTTTGGTGCCTCAGGGCTCTTTCAAAAAGCCACAAGTTGCTGGCCGAAATGGGCTTTTTCCAAGAGATTTTCACTATAAGGAAGAGAGCTGGAGAATAGATTGACCTTGCTTGAGGTTTCTGATTTTTAGTGAAATTCTCTTTACGACTGGACTGGTCCCGCGGCCGATCAGTTCTGACTGGTGGTAAGCGCCTCCAGTATTGGTACCAGATTTAGCTGCTTTTCCAATGTCAAGGCAAGGAAGGGCCTTAGTAGAGTTCACTTTATCTCAGGTTCGCTTAAGAAACTGAGGAGTCGCTAATTCTTCTTTACTTGGTAACGTAGGAATGGAGGAGGTATCGGTAGTGGGGACATCCGCAAAATGGCGTACTTTGAGTCATCCATGGATCCAACAGTCGCAAGGAAAGGGGTGAGTAGTGCTGTGTAAAGGACTGAGTGAGTCTCCAAAGCTTCTTTCTAATTCTCAAGGTGAATTCGTCTTTGTTTGTTTCCTTTCTGGAAAAGGGTCGCGACAAGACGCGAGTAATTGTGTACCGCTGTCCAGGAAACACTGCTGTACAGGTAACTTGTAATTAGTTATTCAGGACCAAGCGCGTTTTCCTTCACCAATAGAGCTCTAGAGCATTTCAGAAAGAACCCTCTTTTAAGTGTTAACTATCAGTAGCTTCCCAAATTATCTTGAAGAATGCAATAGACGGAATTTCCTTCATTCCTCTTTATGAATATAAATTCACATAATTAGTTATTTTGAGTGAAAAACGTCTTAAGCTTTTCTTGTTTTCTTTCATCCTGCGTAAGTAACGTGAGAATTAATTTTGATGTGGTGCGTGAAAAGTTCATTCTAATGCTTCCTAAAGTATCGCGGACAAGTTAGTCATACTATTAGCTTCCATTTTCTCAGTCCCCCTTCTCAATGTTAAGATGAAGAAATGCGCATAGAAGGGTTCGCTTGCATACAACGTTGATAGAAGGGAGTTGAGGAGAGTAATAATATAAGGTGAAAAGTGCTATCCTCTATGGTACGTAACGTACCGCTGACCCACCTGATCGCATGTTTTTTTTGTTTCCTCTTAGGTATATGATTACCTCAGGAAAACAGCGAGGGTTATTTTTGGTCCAGACCTTGTGAGTAAACAATTGAACAATTTAATATTTCTACTTAAACTTCGTTTGTTTAAGTAGAAATAGTAAATTGTTTATTTAAGTAGTGACTTTCAAATGCTTTCAGAGTCTTCGTCTTGACGATAAGGTTTCTTTTCTGTCGACGATAAAAAGTAGTATAGCGAGGAATGTTTTAGGCCGTTTTTTGTTATCCATGTAGGACCGATGTGGGGTCGATTTGAGGTCGTCTGCTGTGTGGATCGATGCTTATTTGCGGAGGAGAAACCTTAGTAATCGCGCTGCCTTTTCTTTGGCTAAAATTCGAGAGTTAATTTTGAAAAGCTGCGTAACCTACATAGAATTTAGCAGATAACTTGCTAATCTGCTGGTTGCGCACAATGCATTATTTCTAAGAACAGTGTCAAACTGAGTTCCGTGCGACGGTAGTTTGTCGTTATTTTCTTTAAAACAAGTATAATAAGACGATGATTAGATTCGGTTTTTGTAATATCCGGAATAATCAGGGTCGCGGTTATTGTTAGATAACTCTTACCTCGACCTTGGTTTTTCCGGATATCACAAAAACCGTATCTAATAATTGTTCAAAATTCTACCTGCCGTCGGACGTGATGACCGGACAGATCAAAATACCATATACTATCATTTTAAGTCAGTATTGTGTATTCCAGGAACATTTTGTGGTTTGTCCGACGAATTGTGCGTCTGACTGTGTAACCATGCTGTGGTTTTGCCAAAGGGCAAGTACGACGGCTATTCTTGTCAGTCAAGATGCAATGCGTTGTTTTTAGAAAGATCCAATTCACGCAGAAAAGACTTTTAAAATTACTTTACTGCCTTTTTTGGCAAATTATTACCAGTTAACATCTCAACTTTCCGAAAACATACTTTGCTCGCCCATTAAAGTTTATGAAAGTGTTATATTGCACTGATGACTCTTGCCGCGCGATGTACGGTCGGAGGAAGATTTTGGATGGGACGACAAAAACTCTCTTTAAAATCTCGGCAATATTTGTATCTTGTCTCTTCCTCTTGACAACAACAATAATCAGGCTAGAATGTGCTTCTTTAAACTAATGTTATGTCTGTCATACTTTTTTAGGTTGTCCTTGGGCCACACGAGAATTTCAATGTGCTGAGCTTGAGTGGTAAGTCTGTTTGGTTATTGCTTCGTGTTTTTAATAATAATGAACTTGCCAACTGCAAACTTAAGTTGATGTCACTTTGATAATAAAATGTTTTCTACGGTCATCGAATTGTCTCGTTTTCAAACAAGGTCAGTAAGCCATTTCCGAGATCCTAAAGCTCTCACTTTCAAAACGAGGCTAAGTGCAAAACCTTTTTGGTGAAAACGAGTTATATTTGCATGAGAATAAAAAATTATTTTTAATCCATGGGTTTGTACCTAACCTCACTTTGAAACAGAGGCTTGGGCAACTCGAAAATGGTGAGTTTGTGATCATAATCTAAATACTTACACCACATGATTCTATCCTGGTTATTTTTGTTCCTTTTTATGAATTCTGCATTATAATTCTACCTTGTCGTCAGTTTGACATGCATTACGGGCGCAAACCTTTGGTTTTCATTTCTCCTGAGTATTACGCTCGAGTCGTCCCAAGAGATTTTAAGACAATCGTTATGATGCAAAATATATTTTTTTCGGGGGGGGGGGGGTTGCAAACAAGGTATTTGTGGGAGATGCCTAAAAGATAAAAATGGTTAGTCCCAAAATAATGCGCCAAAGGAATTGCAAATGAAACCGAAACAGCCCGCAAGGGCAACGCAGAACCGAAGGCTCGACTGACGTTTGTTTGTTTTTTTTTCTATGAGTACTTTTGAGTATTGTTTCATATAAAAAGTTACGTGTCGTCGTCTTTCGTTAACACATGAAGGATGATGAAGAGATATTTTTGTAGACAGTCTCAGTCACCCCATTGGATCAGTTTGTAAATAGGGAAGTATTGTATCGTCTACAAAAGGTTGTCTGCGTTTACAAACCTTAACGATATTGTGTGGACGGAAGATGAATTTGGCGTTGTAAACTTGTTTTATCTCTTAAAGCGGGGAAGCCTAAAAAGCCAAATGCTTTAAAGACAATATGCCTGATGCTTGGACCGGACTTTATCACGGATATTATAGAGGTGAGGAGATAAATTCATGATTATGAAGCTGAAGGACAGCAAGGACGCTGGAGTTTAAGCCTGAAGAGGCTATTTTAAAGATGATATTTCTTTTAATTCATTTTCCTCTCCTGTGTGGTCCACAGGTCGAGTTATGGGTTTTTATGTAAACGGTTTTCTCTCTATATAAATCGACCCGTGGACCACACAGGAGAGACGTAACACACCTTTTAAGTAAGGTAAGCTGTTTTTTATTGAAATCCTTTCCTTTTCGTAGGTTACAGAAACCATAGGTTTTTTCCCCGCACAAATCCTTATATTTTGAATGTTACGCAACAATGTCGATGCTCGCCGATGCTCATATTTCGAGTTTGGGCTACCTGTGGTTCCTGGAGTTCTGAATGATCTCGGCATTGCAAAAAAGAAAGAAATGAAAAGGACATCGCGCAAACTGTTCATCGCGCACATATATAAAGTGCTTCTGCGGGCCCGGAGATAAGATCCCATCATAATTCCTTTAATCATAACTATAACAAAATTCTCAAATCTGATTGGCTATCAACTGTCCTGATTTCAGCACCAATAGAACAGTGTAACAGGACAGTACGCGTTATGCCTGTAAGTTTTGGACAGTAGGCGCCATCGCCCGCGCACTTAAATCGCTTTTTTTCACTGCTAGCAAAAAAACCTTCGGAATTTTTTGTGTTTTGATTAGAAAAATTCCTAAAATATCACAAATTCTGTTATACTTATGATTAATTGGTTACAGAACTTCTTGTTATCTAATTCAGTCTGTAATCTTACTCGTGATTAAACAATTTTGTTAATCACTCGTTTGATTACAGACCAAATTGGACTCCACTCAGTCCTATTACCATTATTAATGACAAAATAGTATAGTATTTTATCATATCCTCATTGCATTTCAGGTAGAAACGAGTGACCACGCTCGACTGAAGATAAAGATCGCAATGAACAACTTCTTTGAGGTATACCATCAACATGATCAAGCAATTGCTCAGTAATGAAACTATCAGGTTTCTTGTCATTTGTAGACAATATTATCTCATCATCCTCTTCACAGTTTATCATTACCTATTTCCTGTTTTTCTTTTTACCAGACTAATATTTTAAGGTGTCTTTTGATTTCAAGGTACCTTATTCTTACTAATTTTCGCGCGTACTTAATTTCGCGAATATTGGGGAGACGGATTTCGGGAGTGCCAATTTTCGCGATAGCCAACAAAACTAGAGAAAAAGCGGTACTGAATTTTGCGATTTTGTCTTTGTTTTTATTTTCATAAATCCTGAACAGAGGGCACTTGTCACAAATCAATAAAACTACATTTTTCAAACAAGTCAAAGCAAGATGATTATTATTGTAAACTTACAACTGCCCTACATGTAACCTTATGGACAAGACAAAATATAACTGTTTTCTGAGTATGTATGCAATGTACGGTTCAGAGCTTAAAGGAGCTGTGTCACGAAATTCAGCCGAATTTGGTATTACAAAATGCCCGTTAAATCCAAGAGAAACATAAAAATAACCACTTAAAACATTAAAGGAAGGTTAAAATAATACAACAGATGCCACGGATGGGCAAAACTGAAGAAGATTGAAACAGATTGAAATTAGGGTTTTTGAAAACTGTTCAGCCTAACAGTTGTTCAAAGTTTATCTCTGCTATTTGCAACTTTAAAAATAATGCTCAGGAGACATATTTGTTTGTCTCGAATCTCTGACTTTGTCATTTACTTGTAATTTCTTTGCTTACTTTAAGTTCCATAGCGATTGAGGGTGAGTAATTGGCAAAATTAAACAAAATGATCTGGACTACCGTGACACAGCCCCTTTAAAACGCAACTTGAGATGTTCAGTAAGTGTGCACAGTTCAGAACATTTTAAAAATTCTTATTGCTTTGTTTTCGACAATGGTATTAAATCTGGCGCAATCTTTTGTTTGCGCGTATTAAATTTCTCGAATGTTTTAAAATCGTAAAATTAAATACTGGCGAAAATTAGTAAGAATAAGGTAATTTTGCACGTTGCAAAATAATGATTCAGAATATCTTGACAGAGCCCCTTTAGGACTGGAAGAATAATAGCCATTTCTTGTCCTATTTTTAGGTTGAAAGAGAAAATGAAGATTGTGAGCAAGGCATTTTTTCTGTACCAGATTACATTGGACACGCCTGCAAAAGCGTTGGTACAAAATTAGCCCTTTTTTTCTTGTACACAGTCGCCTTGTACCTCGCCCCAGGCTCCCAGGACAGGAGGCCTCCGGTCCCGGCCTTGATTAAGGGATTAAGGGAAGGCTAGAACAGTAAAATTCAAATATGTTGTAAAGTTAAAAAGGTACTTTGTAAACATTTATTTTATCGTACAAATATAACTCTTGGCGAGAGACAACACGCCATCGATTCATAGCAAGTTATTGAAAGCAGCCAGCGTCTGCTTGAGCCTTGTTATGTAACTGTATTGTGGAACACAGTCGCGAACAAATGATAAACAACAACCGTTTTGTATCATCGTAGGTGACCGGGGGAACATTGTTCACCCGACACTGAGGGTCTCCGGCACTAATCATCAATACATAGTTCGGCTGAACTGATGAAGATTAGTTTTTCTGTGGAGTGCTGGCCCCAGTTATTCAAAAGGTGGATAGCTCTATGCAGTGGATAAATCACTATGCACTGGATAACGCAATTAGTTTTCGTACTACTCATCCTTTAAATAGCGCTATCCAGCTTTTGAACAACCGGGGCCTGGGATACATCGCAATGTAAAAAGTAAATAGAAAATATTAAAATTCATACTTGGCTCCGAGGCCTTAGGGGAATAAAACAAAAGAAATGTGTTATTCATTGCTGTAGCCTCTACACAGATGTTGTTTTATTTTTCTTTTCGTTCTTTTCGAAAACATTGGTGAACACGCGATTGAAGCGAGCGCGTGAGAACTTGCAGCCAAGAATGAATTTTAATATATCGAAATTGGTCTATGTTGATGTAAGTTCTGTTCTGTCTGTAGCGAGCAGGATCCGTGGTATGGTCGCACAAGTGCCTTTTGATGAATTTCACCGCTATTCTACATCTGTGATCAAGAAAGCTGTTTTTGGTGTGGATAAAGATGGAAAAATCAAACAAAGACTGCGATTTGATGCCAACCAACTTGTGAGTTAATAAAAATCTCTGTTATTTCGGCCTCCAAATCTTTGGACCTGATCCTCAGAAGACGAGGAAAAGTTGAACCCGGAATTAAAAAAATTAGAGGATTTTGTTTTTCCCATTTTTTGTCCATTTTCTATCCACGCCTTCACTGTTCTCATTCTTCATTCTCTCTCTTAGGGGAAGGGTACTTTCTGGTCGTTATTAACTGCTAAAGACGTTCTCGTTTCTATCTAAAAGACGGAGTTCTTTTTGCGATTATAACCTATGTTCTTGCTATAGTAAAGAGAGCACTTGGTGATGAGAGATACAGTGTGATATGTTTTCTAAAGGATGTAAATCTGAAGCGGGAGTTTTCAAACGTCAGGAGGGATCTTTAACTCTCTCACAGTGCAGAGACACGCGCTACACAGGCCCTAGCTTCCAGGAAACCAATTCAAGGTCACAAGAGAATTTTTAAGTTGCTTTTGGAAAGAATATTCTCCAGTTATTCTGTAAACGTTTTGAAATTACTTTCTCTAGTATTGACAGTATTACTTCGCAAGCTATGGGAGTCGACTTAATGTAAAGTGCATGTGTTTTTTTTTAAGGTGGTGACTAACATTGACATCCAGAGCATAGAGCCCGTTGATCTGCACATGAGTGAAAGCCTCAGTAAGTCTGTGCAAATGGCCATAGAAATTTCCACTAAGTAAGTATAGGTAATGTACTTACAGAGAGGCCTTAGAAGCTATCTCTTGTATACTAAATACCGCGTGTGAGAAACTAGTATAAAGTCAATGAGCTCTGCAACTTTGAATACGTTGATTGGTCCTGACTGTTCATAACCTCTGCTGCTTTTTCGTAAAAGGATTGTTCTTCCCACAATGCCTTGTGCATCGCTCGTTCTTAGTCCCTCGCGGTGTTAATTGCGATCTCACGAAAGAACCTGTAGAGGAAGTTGCATTATCATCGAAATCTTACACTTATGACCTCAGAATTGAAGAATTCTTTCATCATCTAAGAACCAGATCACCCTACAGAAAGATAGACGAAGGGTAGTCTCCTTGCGATAATATTGCAATTACTTGTTAACTCTTTGAATATACACATACAATTCTCCAAACTGATCTCTATACATTTGATAAGAGATCAAGGCATTTTCTCTTAGGTGATCATTTTATCAATTCTCACAACCTAATCTCTTAACAAGGTATGGATATTACTAGGAGAAAATTGATGTTGGTCGCCGTTGGGACTTAAAGGGTTAAACTAGTTCATTTTTTTGATTTTTTTTCGTTCGCATTTTTCCAACTCATTCTCATGATAATATGTTTGTAATCGAGTGGTTTGCCGTTGCTCGTGCTCGATCGTCTTCCTATTAACTCTGCCTTAATGCACAGTTCACATGCGCACCTTGAGAGGTGTCTGTTTTAAACTTAAACCAGTTTTTTTGTGGGCAGAAAAGTGTACTTCGGTACCATGCAGCCAGGCATGCTGGTACTGACGCCATACATTACACTGGTTAGGCGGCTATATATGTTGGATTCACTAAACTCCAATCTAGCAATTTTAGTTTTGGTATGCGATTTTCTAAACTGGGCGTGAACCACATTTTTAGTATGAATCACTTCAACTGAGCATTAGTGCATACTAGAAAGAGGACAAAAGTCAGAGAAAGTGGTCCTTTGTCCTGCTGATAAAGTTCCTCCCCTTTCCAAACCAACTGATTAAAGCTAAACCAGTTATTGAAAATGCGTGCAATGGAAGGTGTTTTATCTCCGTTGCGTGCTTTTCTCATCCGAGGTCTATTGAGCGAGCAGCAGAACACGAAGCGAAGAGAACAGAACAGATGGCCAAAGGAATGTTAGAAAGACAGAAACTCACCAACGAGAAGGTCAGTTGCGTCTCCTGATAATCAAAAACATTCTGAAGCCGATCGGCAACGTGTTTATCACCAGCTCTTAATTCAGTGAACACCCTACGGTTTTCTTCTGAGGATCTGCTTGATTTAAGTTAGTTCATAATTTATGAATTGACGCAATAAAGCTCCTCTTCCTGTCTTTTAGAGGCAGTGGCATTCAGCACCACAGATCCCAGAATTCCGATGTACATCACACTCCCTTCACATGCCAGGACCAGATAGCGCCTGCCTTATAATTTTGTTCACTAAGAAGCCCGCGGTTTTTCTATGTAATGTGAGGGTTAAATTCGTCGTATTTGTAGTACGCTGTTTTCTCAGCCGTGCCCTATATTTTTTGTCATTTATAATTTGATATTGGTTGGCCTAGTTTTACACTTCTCAGGTACTCTCTTGTTGAACTGTTGGCTCGCAATCATATGTACAATAGCTGACTGCGAACAGTCTCTCTTTTTCTTCAGATTTGGTAAGCGGAGTGCACTTGCGCGAAAGCCTCTCCCTTTTCGCGCCTTTCATCACGCACGTGGTCATTTTCATGTCTCGCGCGTTTCGCTCGACGGACTAAGGAAAAACAGGGAATGCTCGTGGTCTCTATGTACAATGTCTTTCCCTTGTTTCATTTTACTTACGTGTTCTCTTGGTTCAGGTAGTTTCCTGCTCTATATTTAAGTTAGTGTTTATCTAGATTTTAAGTATATACAATTTTTGTTTTAATTTGCAAGGAAGCTGAAAATGCGCGGGTGAGTTTATTTGAACTAAGAGCTATCACCGCTGCTGTCGAATCTTCCGGACAGAAGAAAGCTGAAGCACAGGTCAGCAGAGTAATTTTTTTCTTCCATTGTTAGCAGTCAATATATTTGTGAGTACGCTGAGCGTCTGTGGCTCAGAAGGGGATATACCTTTGAAAAAAGAATGCCCGACAATCTCATAAAAGTGTTTGCCTCGAACTCTTGATGTCGCCAGTTGATAAATTGATATCCTTATGCACTACGTATCTTAGACAGCCGATGCTCGCGTTTAAACTTAGTTTCAAGGTTTCATTGAAAGCTATGTTCTTCACATTTGGCAGTTTGTTTACAGGCTGTTATTTTGACTTTTATAAAGCTGCTCATTACAACAAATGAAACCCGGAAATTGTTTAACCCCGCTAAACTGTATTCTTTTGCTCAGTACGCGTTTCTCTCCCATGGGTACAGTATACAAACGCGCCCGCGACTGCAGTACCTGATTGTCACTTACGATGAGCGTTACCAGAACTACGTATTATTAGGGTGTAACTTGTGCTCTGTTAATTTGTTTTCTTAAAAACAAAACCTGTATACTTCGACAGGCTCAAGCCGAGCGGTTACTGATCGAAGGAGAAAGTGCGATCGAAGGTATGAAATTGTGTTTCCAACAACCTTAAACCTTGTTACCGCTTTTTATTGCAAAAATACAGGTTAGAGTTTTTCGATGCAGATAGGGCGAGTATTGTACAGTACTCTTATTTTTGCTTTTAATATGATTAGGATGCTTTCAGATTGGGTCAAAAATTGAAGTTAGAGCAATCGCGGTTCTCTTGGGCGAGGCTGCTAAACCAGGTCAATATAGCTGGTAGTTATTTCTAAAACTTTTGCGCTTCTTAGTTGCCAAACTGAACGCGGAAGCTGCCGAGATAGAGTTGAACGCCGAATTACAGTCGCAAGAAATGGTGAGTTAATCTGTACAACAACCTAAATACATATCCATTCCCACGTCAGTTTGATTTCATAGATGAACTTTAACTTAAAGTGTGTGTACTAATTTAATTTTAGCTCGTCTACTAATGATACTTCTGTTTGCCGATTGATAGGAGAAACACGGTGAACTTGAACATCAAAAACAACTCAATGAACTGGAATTACAGAAGGCCAAGGAATTAGCGGAGATTGAGGTTTGAAGCAATCTGCTTAGTGTAGTGTACAGAATTTATTACGTCTTCTAACATGAAACATGAAGTATCTAACCACTGCATGTGAACAGAGCAAGAAATCGAGATGGATTGTTCCATGGTACCCGGCCTGAGAATGCTTTCAGGAAAGCTCAGGGACCTTGAATTGACGATTGACTTCTTTAGTTACTCAGCACATGATACCTTTGAATGCCAAGACCCGCCTCCCTTTAAGACTTTTGAAAATGTACCCATGCCCGTCCGTGTCTTCTATTGAATGATTTTTGTATTTATTTATTTTTCTGGTTAATTAAGGTATTCTTATATCTTGTTACTCAAGGAAGGAAACTTACTCCTGCTATAACAAACTGGCCGCTCAGTTGTTGCAGTTTCCTTGCTATCTATCTTCTTTTATTCTTTTTAATCCTGTTACTCTAGTTACGTCTTTTGTCTACTTGTTTTTTTCCCTTCTGGCCCAGCTAATAAATAAAATAAAATCAACTGAAAAGCTCAACTGAGGTAGCCTGTTTCAGATTTTCTGATTCTCAGGCATCGGAGTAGTGCGCGAGAGAGACAAGCAGCCTCGCTGCTGTTTTTCCCGTCCTTGCATTTTATTCCTCCAAAATAGGCTAGCGTAAGGTCGCTAGTGATTTTGCTTTGTAAAAAAACGTGGGGTACTGATTTATATTGCGCGTAACTCGATATAAAGATACCAGACACTTTGTCAATAAACTTTTACCTTTGTCTCTTGGTAAAGTAGAACCAAAGCGGCGGTTTAAATGTTGTTTTCTTATCATAGGCTAATAAATTTGCGGCAATGGTCAAAGCTGTTGGCCCAAAGACTATCAGCAAAATTGCTCGTTCTGGTCCCGAGTCGCAGGTAAGACCCTTCTTGATCTCTGCTCTCAGAGTTTAAGAGAATAGACGCTAACCCTCAATCTCCTTCGGTACGGGAGCAAAGAGAGCATGCACTCGCCTCCCACCAGTGTGGCCCGGGTTCGAATCCCATCGTCGACGCCATATATCGGTTGAGTTTGTTGTTGGTCCTCTCCTTTGCTCCGAGAGGTTTTTCTCCGGGTCAGACTCCGGTTTTCCCCTCTCCAACACTTCAGTCCAGTCAGTCACAGGCACGTTTAAACGAATTGTTAAGAACTCATAAGTACTTCGTGGGCAAACAAATTACAACAAATTACAAATACGTTGAGAGGTATATCTCGCTTTAAATGGCTCTAAGTACAGTCAGCTTCAGAATTTTGTTGAACGGATAGTTATGATGGAGGCCTCCGCGGTATACTGCCTGTTTAAACTTTATATCTCAGGATAAACTTGTAGCTGTTCAAAAAACCTCTTGACCACCACTGTGGACTTTGTCACTCTGCGCGAGTTGAGAATGTACGTTGACAGACTAACGTTGAAATTTGTCTGATCCAGACTTCTTTTGATTCGGATCTCGAGCAAGTTCGTTCATACGTGTGGTAACTTTTGCCTCCTCCCACCTTCCGCGGTTCGGTCACTTGAGTGACCCAATTTATATGGCTCTTTTCACTACCTTTCCCAAATTTAACAGGGTTAAATCCGGCTGAGAATCTTGGTCTGACAACTGATCTTCCCCAATGAGCAGGACGAAATTAAGCTTCAACAGTAATTTATTTCTATGTTACTCATATGACTGATACCATTCCTCCCCCGACAGGCTGGCCTTCTCAAGGGACTGGGGATACAGAATGTGCTGATCACTGATGGAACTACTCCGCTGAATTTGTACCAGTCTCCTGGCGGATTCATGCAGTCCGGAATGACAAGCTAGAAATTTCTAACCATTTACATGATATATTACATGCATTTTTTTCGCACATGAGGGGCCCTTTTACGGTTCCATAAGAGATATACCCATTCGTTTAAACTACAATATGTTTAGCCTGGAAGGTGAAGAATTTAGGAGATGATAAACTCCGTTAGATTCTTCCCATCCCCTTCCACGTCAAAAACCCCCAAGAATTATTTGTTAGCAATAAGAAAGTTTTTTCTATGATTGAACACACTCGCAAACTTTGTTGAATCGTATTGCACTTAAAAGAGTTGAAGTAAAGAAAATGTAAGGAAACTCGGGTGCATATTAAGTTAATAACTTTAGAGTAAATCTCTAGACTCTATTTTTGTGCTTGTTAGTTTAATATAAGGTCTGTTTAGTGATGCTATATGTGAAAGTATACCTTACTCACTTGTCTTGTTATTCATTCAAAATATTTGTGCGTTTCTCTATTAAACGATCACTTTGACAAGTTGTACCATACTAGTGTAGCAGATAAACAACTGTGTATACTGTATAGCCGGGTGTTTCGGGGTTTTTTACTTCCTTTCTTTTGACACAAGAAAAGGTAGAGACAATGTTGAGGTCGATCTGTCCGATCTCTTGTCGTAGGACAGATATTTTGTTGTTTCATGAACCTGAGCAATTCTTAAGTTTGTCAATCCTGTATTAAACGATCAACCTTGACTGTAAATACCGGACATTTTGGAGATTTTGTCAAATGCATTTTAATGATTTTGTAAATATCGTGAAAAAATAATTTTGCTCCCTTTAGTAAACATCGGCATGCTAACTTTCGTCGCTTTTGCAGTGCTCGTTGGTACAGCTGCATCATTTAACGCCTAAACTTTGTCTTCAGTCACCAGACGCATTTTGAATTCCATTCCAAAACAGTGAATGTCCTAGTTATGGGAGCCAATTAATACTTGAACTGTCCAAATTTTTAGAGAGGTAATACTAACCTTTACCTGGCTCGAAATACATGATCCAGTAAGTCCATATCAGCCTAGTCCCCAGGCGTTTTCGGCTCGGTCGTTCCTGGACTCTACCATGAGCTGTGACGTCACCGACAGATGCTCGCCCGCTCTCTCCCAGACTTAACTTGGCGCGGACAACGGATTAATAGAGAACGCCTAGAGGCTCAGCTGAGTCTCAGCTGAGTTTTCCCCATACCATGCGATGCCATTGTTTTTAAATGGCCCGCGGAGTATTTTTTCCCAAGAGCATTTTAAGACAATAAGTTATGGGGGGGCAAACCAATTGAAAATGACCGACAGGGCCCTTTTTTAACTGTGTGGGGGCCGATGACCACCTCTTTTGAAATGGGGGGCGGGGGCAAATTTATCTGTTCTCTCTTTGTAGCTGTTTATGGAACTGTCAGATTACTAAACTTTGTTGAGTCATTGTTGAGCGGAGCCATACTTTTACAAAAAGCCGCTGAAAAGGATCTTTTTTTCTGCTGCGCCTGATTGCACATGCAGGATTCACTAGTAGAAGTTTTCAGATCATGATCTTCAGAGGTGCCTGTGATTCCGTCAGTTTGTCTAGTATGTCATCGAAACATGTATCACACTGGCCATTGATCAAAACTTAAAATTTCCAGTTGGCTTTTTAAAATCCCAACTGAAATTAAATGCCTCAGATACCACATCATCAGTCGATATAATTCGTTTCAAAAACCGTATTTCCGTGGAGTAGTCTTCAGATTTAATCGAGAACCTTCATAAAAAAAGACTATTCCGCATCGTTGAAAATGCTACACAACCTTGCTATTTTGAAAACGCAGAAGTCTAGGACTGAGTGCAGGTTGTAAAGACAGGCGTTCTGAGGCTTACTACGCATCAGATATGGGATCAAAACGGACCAACTGTAAATTTAGATGCTGGAATGAGACCTAGATATAACGAACCTCTACATAACGAAGTCCTCAGGGGCACCCAACGAGAATATAGTTCAAAACCACTTAAACATAGCATTGTTAAGCGTATTTTAGTATTTAAACGGTAGATATGGGCATATTTTTATCCCCTAAAATTTTTTCATCTGTTCGGATTTCCTAGCTGAAAGTCTAGTGATCCAAAAATTATAGGGATCAAAACTTACCTTTTCGAAAATTTCAGCCAGTAAAAAGGCTCCCGAAAATTCTAGGTGACCTTTCAAAGGGTAAAAATCCGTTAAAAATGGGCAACTATAGTAGTTTTTAGATGTTCGAAAATCCTAGGAGAGGCAGGCAAGCAAAACATTTTACAACAAATGTTCCGAAAATTCTAGATCTCAAATCGTCTTCCGAACAGATATTTTTCCGAAAATTGTCGTTGGGTGCCCCTGAGTCCTCGGTATAACGAACTATTTTTTAACCCCAGTAATAGTAAAATATACCGTCTCCCTCGAATAATAACCGTCCCTCGATTAATCTCTTCACAAACCCTCTCGCCATCTTCTCTTTTCTTTATCCCCTCCCTCCCTGTCAAGTTAAAAATTGACAACTTGGATAACAAACATAGCTGAAGTGGAGTCTGATCAGTGACGATTCAAGCTCTGATATTGAGTACTGAAATTAATCAAGGAACCAAATTTGGAACACTTAAAAAGCCCATATTCAGTTTATTTAATGTGATTATTTTTTAACATTTAATGGAATAATAAAAGAAAATATGATGACTTCCAGTGAGAAATATTTGAAATGAACGCTCTCCCTCGAATAATCGCCCCCTTTTGGTGCGAAAAAAAGGAATAATCGCGCCCGTCTATTGTCGAGGAAATACGAACCTCGATATAAGTTAACGAACCTCGTCATAACGAACATATATCGAGGTTCCATTGCACTTAAATTTATTTATTCATTTTTCAAAAAGTGGCGGGGATGCTGCTCCCCCCAAACTCCCCAGCCCCTCCCCCTGCGCGGGCCCTTTGCGACTGTAACGTAACCGGCAAGCCGTTTTGAGATTGGGATGGCTGTGATCTTGACTCGAACTCTACCCGGTATATTTGTCAATGAAAGTAACATTTTTGTCGTAAAATCAGAGCTGTTTGTACGTCTTTGATCGCCTCATAAATACTCATTTTTTTGGTCGGAATGAAAACATCTGTAGCAAATATGTCTCGCATCCGCTTTCCGCATTATTATTTTTTTACACATTTTCCCGATAAAAAACAGGGGCACCCAACGAGAATATAGTTCAAAACCACTTAAACATAGCATTGTTAAATGTATTTTAGTATTTAAACAGTAGATATAGGCATATTTTTATCTCCTAAAAATTTTCTATCTGTTCGGATTTCCTAGCTGAAAGTCTATTGATCCGAAAATTATAGGCATCAAAACTTACCTTTTCGAAAATTTCAGCCAGAAAAAAAGCTCCCGCGATTCTAGGTGACCTTTTTAGCGTAAAAATTCGTTAAAAATGGGCAGTTATACCATTTTTTAGATTTTCGAAAGTCCTAGCAGAGGCAGGGAAGCAAGAAATGTTACAGCAAATGTTCCGAAAATTCTAGATCTCAAATCGTCTTCCGAACAGTTATTTTCCGAAAATTGACCGCGTTGTGCCAGTTGTATCATTGTCTCTCCCTGCTATTTACTTCAGTGAAGATGATACTTTAGACATCAAGTGTACTTACAATGTCCTTTTTTATACGTCGAATTTAAAGCAGCTTACTAGTCCAGTCTTGAGCAAACAAAACCCTTTTTGTTAATGAATCTGGTTAACACTGAATACCTGCAACTCTAACGCGAAACGGAAGAGGAAAGACAGTATTAAAAGGTGGAACACGATATTGCCGGACGTGAAAAACAGTAAAGCAAGTTCAATTACAACAAAACCGCAATATGAAAAAATATTTTCAACCACTGAAGTTCAATTTCACCTGCGTTCCTAACGGAGCAGCGACCAAATGCAAATTCGGTCATTGTTGCCTTGTGTTTTTGTGGTAGATATCCCATTGTGTAGATAAAAGTATGGAAATCACCCACAAAATATATAGTTCCTACAATTTAGAAATATTCATATGTAGCGTTACGTTCTTCATATAAAAAATACATATTATTCGCATCTCATTCAGTGTCACATTAGTAGAATTTACAAGCCATTACCAAACTTTCGTGCTTGAAGTTGGAAAAAATTATGCTCATTAGCAAGCTGTTTTTCATCTGTCCTTATTTGATCTTGGGTGGTAGAACATCTGCCTGCACGGGAAATTTGCCATGCCACTGAACCAATTACCATAGAAAATCTTTTGCAAAACAAACTTGTGATCTCCTTTTTTCGGGCATTTTTCAGTCGACAGCAACAGGAAAAAAAAAGTCAAAATGTATTCTTAAGCGATTTCTTTCGATTTTCACACAAGCAATATTTATCGCGTTCTTTGTTCAATGTCCGCCAATCATGGAATATTGAATTACAATAGGGCTTTGTTCAATTATTTGCCTTGACAACCGTCCCTGCATAATTGAGATCAAATGTGTGGCGCTTGTCTGCGATAACAATGGGCGACGCAGGCAACCTTTGTTTGACACTTCCGCCATTCGGCGTGCTTTCAATTCCTCGCATTCTATTGGCTTACTAGAGAACAATGCGGCCCACACAGTGAATAACCTAAAGGAAAACAGATATTGTTCCTTTCGGCATTGTTCAAAGACAGTTTGGATTTTCGCCATTTGTTTTCACTTTGGCGTTGAAAATCCGTCTCTAAACCACCAACGATTGTTAAGATTTGAAGATTTTCGTCCGAAATTGGAGCTCACATTTCGTAAAACTCGCGCGTTTTCCGCCTTATCACGTGTTTCCTACTCGTCACGTGATAAGAAGAGATGTCATTTCTCTACCAGTGATATTGAAGTTGTGATCAAACTCGACAATGGCTGCGGTAGCGACAGGAGTGAATAACGCGATCTCCAACGGGCCTGAACTCGGTGAAGTGAAAATTGAAAAAGTAGAACAGATCAACACGAATGATCAGAACTTTAACTGGAAAATTGCGACGACGGCGCCGACCTTTGTCGACGCCAACACGTTAAATGCGACGACAAACGTAACAGAAAATAACACAGCATCGGAGAACAGTGTGGTAGTCTCTAATACTCAAATCGATGGTTCAACTTTGAAGCTCGTTGGTTTGCCATTGAAGACGCAAATTATGCCTGGACCCTACTCCGAAGTGCAACTGCCGAAAAAGGAGAATCACGTTAAACGGCCGATGAATTCATTCATGGTTTGGGCACAATCTGCGAGGAGAAAACTAGCCGAGCAGTATCCTCATGTACACAACGCTGAGCTGAGTAAAATGCTGGGAAAACTATGGCGAATGCTTCCTGCGGCTGAAAAACAACCCTACGTTGACGAAGCGGCGAGATTAGATAAAAGGCACAAAGAGGAATTCCCCGACTATAAATATCGACCGAGAAGAAGGCAAAAATCGATGAAACGACCGTACGTTCAGGCACGAGTGGCAGTGACTCCGGGCTGGGCTACAAGCGGCCAAGCGCAAACTCCGATTGCAATGAATGGGACGGCAGCAATCGCTACCCAGAACGGCACGTTTCCACAAGCAGTTTTACCGCAAAATTCCCAAGTAGCTCAAGTTTTTCAGCAAGGAATACAGCCAGTTCAAGCGGTGAATACCGCTGGCACTGTAACTTACGCCCCAATCGGGAGCGTGGGATATGTACCAACGACACCTATCCCGGGAGGTAGTATGATTTTACGACCGACTTTTGTTACTACGGCTGTAACGAACCCTACATCCATCCAGTCAGCAGCTACTGTAGCAGTACAGGCGGTGAGAAGTACTGTGGCAACAACATTTCCTACTCCAAGTTATGCCATCCCTCTCACCCAGTACGCGGGTGCTCCAATTATTGTTTCGAGCGGTGTCAATAATTTGGTTAACGCCGCTGAAAACACAAACAATACATCAGAGAAAAGTTCTGAAACTGCAGCTCTAACTACTATCACTATCCCTGCCTCCATAGCTGGCTCTGTGGGTACTAATTTGGCGACTATCACTGCTGCTGGACTTGTGGCCGCTAACCCGGATGGCTCATCACAACAACCCAAGAACAATGAAAGCCAACCCGATGTACAAAACAGTTCCGCTTTAACCGTAGCTGTCTCAGAAACCGCAGAGACACAAACTGAACGTTCAACTGCAGATCGTTCGCAGAGTATTGAAGTGAAAACCGCTGAAGGCTGCCGTATTTAATTGGGGAATACAATAATCTCTACGTGGAAGTCTTGGTAGGCTCTATACAGCATGTCTAAACTAGCGCATCCAAATTTTTGTTTATTTATTTACTTTTGAAAATTTGTAACATGGTATTCGAGTTGGCCACTGCTAGCTCTGCACGCAATTCGTATTTTTCAATTGTCTCGGTGTTGTCCTCGAAGTTTAGATTTTGTACACGTGCGATTATACCTCCATTGTGTACTCACATGTTGCACAATTACATAAATGGACTGCAATTTTCAGACATGAGCAATTGTCTGTACAGAATACCTTGATTATGTTTTGCCCAATGTTCCTCACGTCATCGAGTTGTCTTTTGTTCAAGGCCATTCTTAATAATGTACTCGTGTTTTTTATTGTTTGCCGTTCCTAAGCGGTGTTTCACAATTCAAAGCATTTTTAATTGCTTAGAAGATTAACAATTTTTGCCGTGCTTTTTTTGCTCGGTGACTGAACGGTTATTCGTTCGCTTGGTTTTTCTTCGACTATTCAAATTATGCCTGCGATTTCACACGCCTTTTCTAAACAAGGTGTGTCTTACGTTTCGAGTAAATTCGGCTCTCCAAATTTCTGTGCAAACGTTGAGTAACAGTCCAGATCACACAATCGTTCAATAGGTTTTGTTTATGTACACAACCACCGTTCTAGCGCGATCAGTTTTGAGGTATTTATTGCCAGACGAGCATTCATTATTTATTTTACTTTACAAGCGGGACTGATTTTCTCTGTCAAGAACGTAAATGACTCAGCCCCAATTGAAAGTGGTGATGACGGCCGTCAGCGAATGAATATTGTATATTAAATTGTTTCCCGGCCATTGTCCCTGGAGCACCGAAAAGATTTGATTGTTTTAGTTGACACAATGCCTTGTACATTTCAATGGTTTGAACTCGTGCAAATATCTATTTCAGAAATGTAGTCTATTTCAGGCTTGTATCAAGGCGAAGTTTCTTGATTTAGACTTTCACCTCATTTGTACCATATATAACCTCTCTTTCTCAGTCTTTTTTTTCTCAAAGTTAAGGCTCAAGATTATGTTTTGTGAGCGTATTTCTCCCAGCTTAAACAAATTTTTAAAAGCACTTGTGACTACTGAAGTTTCATGTCAGATACTGATTACATGGGGTGCATTGGGCAAAAATGATCTGTTCTTTGTAACATTGTATGTGAAGCATTTTGTAGTGACAACAAAGCGTGCTGGGTAGCCTAATTTTGAACATAAAATACGTCTGAATATAAATTTCCTGTGAAAGATACATCCTACATGAACCTCTAGTACATCTGCCCACAAGAAACAACATGGATTCACCTTGCAGAATTAGAGTGCAGTTTTATCATCAATTTCTTCTGCTGCTTTAAAGTGGGGTAACGGCCGTTTTCAGTTTAAAATGCTAACCTTCTCATTAAACAACTAATGTTGCCAAGTATATGCTCCAAACATTCAAAGCAGATAAATGCAACTACATCAGAAACAAAGTTAAAATAATATTATAATCAAAACGTCTCATACTCAGAGCTGTATGTAGGCAGGTTACAAGTGGAGTTTTTTTAACCCATGCATGACAAAGTTTTAAGGTAGAATAATTATTACTTCACAATCAAGCAAAGTTTTTTCTTATTTTGTGTTTATTAATTTTAAAATTGGTACTTATGGTATTTAAGTCTAGATTTGGTGGTTTCATTTGGCTCTTAAGTTGACAATTATCCTGCATGTGGATATTCTACTTTTATTCAAGTAGTTATGGTATCTAATTTTTGTGGTTATGAAAGATGGGACAAGTGAATTATTGTTAACTTTTATCTTTGTGATCCTATACCAAAGTAAACTATAACAATGTTCTTTGACACTTAAAAATTTGAAGAAAGTTTCAGGTGCAAGTCCTTCAAGGTCACATTCATGTGTAGGTTAAGCAAGAAATTTTCATTTATATCTTCTAAGGGGTTCCTAGAGAAGCCATTTTAATAATAATTATTCTATTAATTGACTTAAATATTGTGGTAGTTGGTTTTAAGCTTATTTAACAACTAAAGATACATTAATTATCATATAGTTTAGAATATAAAGTTTATAATAGTTAATTTCAGCATACAGTATATATATACAATTTGACATTCTGAGGTTGAAATTCACCTTCGTTTTACAGTAATTGATTTTAAACAGACATACAAGACCATAAACATTCTCAGAGTAACTGTTCATATAGTAAATAATATAAATATGGTGACTGATTCAAGGTAGTAGGAAAATTTTTACTATTTGTAACATATATTATGCATACAGTTACCATGTAACTAACAGAGTAATCATGAACTTTGTGTTATTGTAAAGCATCATATATTTGATTGCATGCATGAGATAAAAAGACCAGTTTTATCAATGAAATTTAAAGTACATTAATGTTATTATTTTCTTAGTCAACTTCCACACCTCTCCTCCCGACTCCACCCCTGACAAAGACACTCTTGACTCTAGCACCTTGAAGAGCTGGATGTCTAAGCTACAAAAGTGTCTACTAAATAGGAGGGAGTCTGTCTGGTTATCCATTATGAGAGACCTTACGAAACTACGATGGCGACAGCAATGGGAACATCTAAAACACAATTAGTTTTATGAGCGAAACAACAACTCTGCACATGCATCACACTTTTTTGCACATTTCTTTGCCATCCCCGCACAGCTACGACATGAAATGACCAAATTTTGAGTTTACTTGAGAACAGGAACAGCAACGCAATAAACTTTACTGTTGCTCTCTCTAAACTCAGATGCAGTCCCCTCTCTTCAGTTTGAACATAACTTCCGTACTTCCAGGTAACTGGGTGACTTAGTATAAGGTCAAAAAAGTTTCAAAGGACCCGAAGTCTATTTGCAGCAACATTTTCATTGGTGTCGCCATTGTCGGATTGTAATGCCCCTATTGTAGGTCTTGGAGACACAAATCAGTAAAATAGTAATGACACTCCTGCACTTGAAAAAACAATTCAACAAATATTTCAAGACTAAGTCCACCGGGAGAAATTTGGTGAAAACAATTTACTGCATTGCAGCTATACATATGGAAAACCTAACAGTTGGAAGCACTTGTTGTGTGTGAGTAAGATTTTAGTATTTGCTTTGTTACCATTAGTAAGATGTTAATGTCTGTTGTGAGGGTGTTAATTAAGTACATGGACCCATGCACATGACATGTGCATTAGCTTATTTAAAACTGCAACCCAAGTATTGCCACACTGTGTTTCGTAAATAATAAATTCACTATAATTGTCGTCTATGGCAGCTTAGTTTTAAGGCTTGTCTGTATTCTCAAACAAGTGACAAAAGGCATTTTGAAACAGTGATTTTCCTAGATGCAAGCAATTGAATCAAACTTTTAGTAGCCAGATTAATGAGCCGCTTAAGTCTGTTTACTGATCAGCACCTAACTTCTCCTTGTAATATGAGTATGAGTGGAATCAGGTTGTGGAAAGTTGCGATGTACCTAGCCTTCCACACAGACATTCTTAGGGGTTTGTCACGCGTTACTGCCCCACAAACCACGACCACCTGACGAACCCCTTAAGAATGTCTGCGTGGGAGGCTACGATGTAGCTGGTGCCTTGATGTTTAAAGGGGTTACCTGATCAGATTTTTTTTCTATTTATCCCAAAGTTTAATCAAAAGCTATAAAATATTCTTCATTCATTGCTTCTCTTGATGTTATCCAGGGTTTTTTTGTGATCAGAAAACTAGGTACATCAGTTTTGTGAATTCTGGGACTGTTGTAGCCTCTTTAAATATCTACTCACCAGTTACAAAGGATATAGAGACTGGTGAAAAACTGTCTTTTATGCTGACATAACATTTGGGTAAAACCATTAAGCAATAATGTGGTATTTCACCTAAAGATGTTCATAAAATGAAAAAAAGGTGCTAAATACATTCTTTTCTTTCTTAGCCATGTTGTGTGGTATATATTGTAAAGGAAGCTGGTTCTGCATCCATGTTAGTCAATGATAATAATTATTTAATGTCAGTGTTTTTACCAAGAATAAACTTGAAGAACGCCATAAACGTGTGTTGGGTTTTTGAGTTAAATGAAAAAATTTGCTGGTGTACAGTTTGTTTGAATAATGTAAGGAGAGGACTTCTAGCCTACTGGTCTTTACTAGAGAGATAAGAAGCGTAATAAATTTTTGAATTTTGGTTTTGAAAATTCCCTTTTTCTTTATTTCTAACTTTTGGGGTTATTGATAATTTTCACAAAGTTTATCAGTCTGTACAAAATCAGGGAAATAGGCTTCTGGTGAAACAAAGCAATCATTGCGGGCGTCAAGAGGAGCCCGCCATCATAATCTCCAGGTTGTTATTACGCATGCGTCGCATGTATGTACCCAGCATTCGTCCATTCTCGTTCACAGAGCCACTCGGCTTAATTTGTAACGAACCAGTGACCAAGAAACGACGGGCTCTGGGACGAGGATGGCATTCGTTTAGTCTTCCACTAAGAATGGTGGAATGCATAGAACGCACTTTGATCACGCGCGTTTGGACGTTCTATCACTCTTAATCTGATCATGCGAGTTTTGACCATCTGTCACGTGAAACTTACGCAAAGCACAGCGTTGGAGCAAAAGGGTTTTGAGGAGTTCACGCTCATAGTTGCATCATGGGTAATCAGGGCAAGAACCCAGCTAATTCTTCTTAAATTCATATATTTGATGCTTTCTCCTTGAAAAGAGTAACTAAGACCCTGTTTACATGGAGTGGGGGGACCCCGGTCTAGTGGGGTAAGTTTCTTTTGTTTTGTGTACCCCAGAGCGTGAAAACAAAAGACACTTACCCCACTAGACCGGGGTCCCCCACTCCATGTAAACAGGGTCTTAGGAGGTCAAAGAAATTATATCTTAAATCTGCAGTGCAACGAAGTCCGTGATCAGTTTCTAGAAAACCTTTAGAAAAATTGAGGTTTTCTAAAAACTGATCACGGACTTCTCCT